GACTCAGAAATAGTTGCTTAAGTGTGACTCCTGAGTGCAGAGTTGGACTCTCTGTTTCTATTTCCATGTTCTGTGGGCTCCTGTAGCAAAACAGATTCCTTGGGACAACCTCTCCATTGTGTGGTGGCCTTCCCCATGTCTGCAGCCAATAGTCTGTGTCCTTCCTTAGAAAGCAGTGCAGGCAGTGGGTTTGCTTTGAAGTCTGCTTCTTATGGGAAGATGGCAATGCACTTATGAAATGTCTGAAATGAATAAAAGTTTCAGTAAACTTGGTAGAAAAAGAGCTCTTTCTCAATTACATGGTGCACCTTCAGTTATCTTCTCCATTTTCTGTCTGTCAGGTCTGTGTCTTGTGGCAGTGTACCTCAGTGACATCACTCCTCATAGATAGCACAGCCATGACTCAGAGCTTCATCAGAATTGTTTCTGATAGTCACTTTGTGGTGATTGCCTGCTTTTTCTTCTTGTTTCAAGCCTTATTTGGTTTTTCTCTGTTCCTGAGTTGCAAGCAGATTAGATTATTTTATTTTAAAACTTCCTATGTCCTAGAACAAGTAAATGTGTGTGCACACTTCAGATGTCTGCTGTCATCTTTTCTGTAGGAGCAGACCTGAACCTTCTGACTTCAGGGCTCAGCATTGAATCTGCCTGGAGATGACCCAGCCTCAGCAGTTCATCCCTTCCTTGCATCCCTTATGAAGAATCCTTCTGGTCTTTTGCCTGTACCACTATTAGGGCCACATCTGGCACTTCCTTTGCTTCATCTAATGCTTCTACCAACCCCCAAAATGTTTCCTTTGTGTTCTTAGCTTTGCTCTACTGCTGTATTTTCATTTACACCATTCCCTGACTCCCTTCAGTTTTCTTGCCCCCCACTCCAAAACTGCCAGTGCTTCTTGTGTTTCAGTGAGTCCCAGTTTGTATCATAGAATTTACAGATATGTGCAGCAATCATTTAACCTTTGACTGGTATGCAACTTTTTTTTGAAATTCATGTCAGGCCTGTCTTCAGAACAAGATGATGTTATAGATGATGCAGTTCACTGTATTTGGTTGTTGATGAGGAGCTGTGGTTTTATTTCACCCACTCATCCTCTGTCTCTGTGTCTACAGTATGTTTCTGCCACTACATGTGGATTGACAATTTATGGTTTCTTCACTCTTCCAAAATACATTACTAATCAAACATCTTAAATGCTAAATCAGGTTTTGGCCCATATGATGCAAAACATCTAGAGAAAAAACCTAAGAATACTACAGCTTCCATTCCAAGATGTGGTGGTGGTAGGGAATGCAGCTCTTTGCTGCAGCAGCTCTACTAGGAAGGGAATTGTTCAGCTGTGTAGATGCAGGTATAATTGGAGAAGAGCTATTGGACCATATCATTGAGCAGCTATTATCCACAGAACACATGCAAGTAAAGAGTTGGTTTGTAAGGTTTAGGTCCTACCATATTCCTTTATGAGAAACTATGCTTTGCTTGTCCTTACAGGAAGGAAGTTCAGTGCCATGATTTAAGCGTGAACCCAGAGAAAAACCATGTCCCTGTGACCTGACACAGTGTGTAACTTTGATCTGTGACACAGCACTTCCTTGGTGTGCCAGCAGTTCAACATGTTGGACATGCACATACAGTCCTTTTATTCCACTGAATTATGAATGAAAATATGTACCTTCTAAATAATAAATCCCATTGCACTCAGATTTGAAAGAGAGACTGTATTCTTGGTGAAGTTGCAGATTAGCAAAGCAACTAATTGTGTCTTCTCCTGTGTCATAGGTTAACTTTTGATCAATGAAATGAACATTGCCCTAGGGAAATGCAGTTCTTCGGATCATCTCTGATCTGTGAAAGAGGGAAATTGACTTTAGAAAAGGCTTCTGGAGATGGGTTCAGTCCAGTTCTGATTGTTAGTAAGGGTCATTCTGCTTCAACTGGCATTAGGCACACTGGTCCTTCCTTGTAAAGCAAAGCCAGAGTATGGGTTCAATTTAAAGAAAATGCATGCCATTCAATAAATATATGTGCATGTGCTTAATTATGGTTTTTTTAATGAACCAGGGTCTTAATTCTGCTGTGATTTGCCATCAGGCAGTGAGAGTTAGTACATCAAAGACTGATTATACTTAAGCTTGCATGTTACTCCATTAATAAGCTGATTTTGTTGTTGACTTTTGCAGGCTAATAAATATGGCTTTTGTAAGTAAGTTAATTGTCTTGTAATTGAGATGAATATTGTCAGGAGTTGTGTTGTTTTTCCACAGTGCATAGAATCAAGGACAAGAGATCAGCAGAGCTTGTGCTGTAGCCTGATGGCAGTATCAGCAAATGGAATATTCACTCTTCCAGTCCTTTTTGGTGCTGCTGTCAAGTGGTGGGGAGTACAGACAGCAGGTTGGCATCATCCTTGATTCCAGCCTTGATTCCATGCTCCTACATATGGGTACATGTGTCCACTCTCACAGGCACACAGAATAAAGCACCTGCTTGGTTTTATGTGTAAAAAGTGACAAGGTTACCAGTGTCAGATCTCAGAGGGTTGTGAGGGTTGTGGCACCTGTTTCCTTTCACAGATCCACCCAGCAAATGCAGTGGTCAGCCTGGGATGAGCTGGCTGAGCTCACTGGCTGTTACAGTAAGAGAGCTCACTGACTGCCAGGAATTGGAGCCACCAGGAGAGACTCCTCCATCCTTTGCATCGTTGTTTTCAACCATTTGAAAGTTCAGTCACCTGAAACTTCTCTTGATGGCCTGTTTGTTTGTCGGTCAGTGGTTTCAGGAGCTTCATAAATATTCAGCAGTGTAGCCTTTCTGCCTTCCAGCTGGTGCTTTAGCCTTCCTTTGCAGGAATAAAAGCTAAGCCTTTGAGACTTTAAAAATGGTGCTGACTCGTAACCTGGATAACTTAAAGATAAAAAACAGATTGAGGTACTGCATTCCTCTACAGATGCTCCTTTCATTTTGGTGGTTTGAATGCCCATAATTATATATTTAAAAATAGCTATTTCCCGTATTTTTGGCTCTGGAGAAAACAGGTGCAAAATAAGCAAGGCAAGGGTGGGCATGGGGGGAGGTGTGTGTGCAGTCTCTGTGATCTCTCTAAGTTTTATTACAGGTGAAGCTCTTGGGGCTCTGGGAAGTGGTGCCTCCACTCCCCATCCTGTGTGTGGTCAGATGTAGGTGTCTGGGCTGACAGAGCCAGTGTGTAGAGATAGAGATAAGGACTGCTCACATTCCTAAAATCCTTCTTTTTTTTTTTTGCCCTAATGGACTCAAGAAGGGTTTCTAGGTTTATGGGCTCAGTTTCTTCTCTGCTTTTCTGGCCCAACAAAATCCTTGCTGTGCATCATCAGCCAAGGGGGCAAGTACCCATCACCGTGGATTAAGTGCTCCAACCAAAGCATGTTGAAGAGCAAGTGGGTGCCATGAGCACTGGTGTAACAGAAGCTCCCAGCCCATTTTGTAAGGAACCTGACTCTGTCCTTGACTTCAACATATGTCTTGAAAGCTCCTGTTGTGTTGAACCACTGTGGAAACATGGAGGAATACTTAATTTCTTGGTCCCAAGAGGACTGAAGTTAATGCTGACTTGCTAAGTCTTGTTGGTAGTTATGTGAGGTTTGGTAGTTCGGGTATAAGCAGTTGTCAGGGTCTTGGGAAGCTTTAAAGAAGGAAAATTGCAGATGGGTCACTTTCATGTTCAGTGGCAGCAAAGTGGGTGTTTTCTCTTTTGGCATGAGCAGCTTCCTTGGCCTGAGTCTCAAACTGGGTGCCTGAGTGTCTTAATGAACTTTGCCATGATGATCATGTCAGATCCTCCGGCTTGCCTCAATAAATCCTACTTATTTGTCATCAGAAGAGCATGTAACTGTTTTCACTTGCAAAACAACTGATTATGTATCCATAGAGCATTCTCCTCTGGCCCCAGTTAGAGGCTGAAGCCTATGTGACAATGTATTTTCTGAGTGAAGCCTTGTTAATTGAGCATGTAAATGTGTAATTGTCTGTACAATTATTCAGTTGACGTGGTTTTAGTTTGCATACAAATATGGGAGCACAGTCATGCAGTTGAGCAAACTGTCCAAGATCAGATGCTTAAATAAATATGTGCATTCTGCGCACAGATGTGAACACCCTAAAAAAGATCAATCCAGTTGTGGTCACCTACTCTTTTCTATTTGTGTGTGGATATGGTAATCTTATTGCTATATGCTTATTTTCATTCAAGTCTGTAACATACCACAGATTCTCTGTTAACTTGGTCCTCTTCCCTACTAAGTTTCACTGGTGTGGGAATAGGAGTTACCATTGGAATTGTTCAGAGGTTGCCCTTAATGTATGTGCCTGCTTTTCGTGCAGTGGTACCTCATGCCCACAATGACTGGGGATGTAATACCTTTGAAAATGTTCTGTGCATACAAAATATTAATTTGAAGTGTGGGAGTTTTTTAGAGGAAAGGCTGCTTTAATAATGGAACTGCTGGCAGTTGAAGTCCAGTGCAACTTCTGAGCAGAAAAAAGGGCATAAAATTTGCAAATAATGGTACAATTGGAATTTTCTCTGCACTCAGTGGTTTCTCTGCTTGGAAGGTGCTGATTTCAAAGAAAGAGTGATCTGGCAGTTTCATTCTTGTCTGTTCCTGTCAGTAAAACTCCAAACATCTGTTGGGGGTCTGCAGTATTCATTTAATGTTAAAGAAAATGCAGCGATGCTGCATTTCTTTATAACTTGTCCTTTTTTATATAGAATTGAACACCGTATTTGGTCTTTTAGAGGTGGTTTGAGGTTAAGTATGTAGGAAGTTAGTTTCACTAACATGGGAGAAGTTCCTGAATAGGGATAGAGCTGTGCTGTGCATATGATTGACAGCTTTATCCAGCCAAGGGTAGTCTGTTCTTAAAATAATGCTTTGGTTGGGGGTGTGAGTGGTGTCAGGTTTGGGGATGCCATTTCAATCTGACAGCCACTCAACATCCCTGTGTCTTTGTTTCTCCCCAGATGTCGCTCCTATGAGGATTGCTGTGGCTCAAGATGCTGTGTAAGAGCTCTCTCTATCCAGCGACTATGGTATTTTTGGTAGGTGCAGGGCATTTGGAATGTTGTGTTTGTCCTCATCTTGTTGGTCAGACTTAAATCAGGATATCGCCAGCCCTGGTATTTTAAACTACAGTAGGGGTATGTAGGAAGGTATGTGTGCACATAGAAATGCATGGATTTTGTTTCTTTCTTACAAAATTCTCCTGATGTAGTAAGAAAACACTGAAAAAGGAGGTTAGTCATGTCAGGCTGACCTTTCCTGCTTCTGCATCCTGCAGCTTTATACAAGCAGCGGTTCCACTTTTATCCAGAATTGCTGAATTCTTTATGCCTGTCCCAGCTACTACCAAACAGCAACATTCTTCCTGGGTTTTTTGGGCACTCGGTTTTAAAAATGGATCCTGTAAGCAGGAATGCGCTTTTAGGCAGGATTTAATATATTCCTGCCAGCTGAATTGAGGCTTCAATTAAAAAGGAAGAGAGGTGCATTTATGGCTATGAGGATTTCACTGGAGATGACAGCAAAGGAAAAGAAGGCAGAAAGACTGAGCTTGTGCAACCAGCAGCAGTAATCTGGATAAAGCTTAAAGTAATCACTGTTATATGCATAATGAAAAAATAAGGTAAATTCCTTTTGGAGTGGAATTTAAGAAAGCACCTGAATAAAACCTTCTCATTACAGTTGAGAGAAAGGAAAGGCTCCCTAGAAAACCTTTTTTCAGGCATTTAATGTGGAATTTGAAGATTGATTTTTAAAAAAGCCTTCAAAACTGAAACAAATAAACAGTGAGAAACAGAAGGCTGATGTATACTATAATACAGAGATTTCCCAAAGCTGACTGTGGGATTTCAGTGTACAATCCTTACTGATATAAGTGAAGAGCTCTCTATCTCAATCCCTGGGTGACGTCGTAAATCTCTGTTTTTCTGCTCAGAAAAAAATCCTTTGCAGGAACACTGCCAAAGGGGAATGTATAAATATTGGCTCAGGGAAAAAGAACCTCCTTCTGCTCTCGTTTCTAATGTAGAAACAAGAACAGAGTTTGAGCCTTTGCATGAAGTAACTCTTGCTGCCATTCTGTGCCACAGTCTTTCTCTCAGCCACCTGGGAATTTTCCAGAGATGAGCGTGGTGTGTAGGCTTGCCTCTGGCCAACTTCCTTGCCTTCCAAAAAAGCACAGTTGTCATTGTCTTCCAGTAAAAGGCCATGAAACAAGATGGCAATTACAGACAGAAGAACCATTCCAATTTACAAGAGCTTTTATGAGTCACTGGAGTGTCTGGTAACTGATCAAGGAAAACACAGTGAAAGCTGCTGTCTAAAGACAAAAATCTGTGTGCCCTTGCTGCATGTTCCTGTCTCTGCCACACCAGGGCAGGAAATGATGAGGACAGTTTAATTAGGTTGGAAAGGATGCTGAGAGAAGGAGAATTGTGGCTAAATAATGTCTTTTTTCATGGAGAATGTAATATCCCATGTAGGAAGCACAAAGCAAAATCTGTCGCCTTCACTACTGAATGCTTCAGTCTTCTGGCTTGAGCTTAAGTGCCAGCTACTGTATTTCCCATGGGAGTTGAAATTAAAATGTTGAGTTAATTTAAGAATATCTAAGATTCTTCTTTAAATGGCAAATGCAGAACAGTATTCCTCTCTGTATTCCACGAACATCCTGAGCAGCCTAGATGCTGTGAGCCTGGGGCCTGCATCCAAGAGGCGCAGTTTGAAACTGTACAGACCTGGAATTTCAGTTTAGCATCCCAGTGGCCAAGGTCATGTGTGAACCTGAACTTTTGAGAATTTCATGTGTTTTACTTTTGGGTTACATGCCAGAGAACACTGACAGCAGTACTAATCACTGAAGATGTCCATAATATATCCATAAGTGCTCCATGAGTGCTATCCCAAATGACAGACCTGCTCTCAAGAGACAACCTGCTTAAGAAATCCTGTTAAAAGTTGTAGGCTGATGTATTCTCAGTGGAAAATCTGGATTTAAATGCTGCCTAAATGTACAGGTTTTGATTTCCTCCTTCTTTTTGCCTAGGTTCCTTTTGATGATGGGAGTTTTGTTCTGTTGTGGAGCTGGTTTCTTTATCCGAAGGCGGATGTACCCTCCTCCATTAGTAGAAGAACCTACTTTTAATGTGTCTTACACCAGACAACCAGTCAACACTGCATCAGGTCAGACACTGCTCATAACAAGTTTCTTACTTTGGCCGAGGCACTAAAAATGGGGGGGTTTTGGGCTTTTGTTTCACTGGTTTTTGGACACTGTGTGATTTGTACAAGGGATTGCTCTGCACTCAAGCATGCATCCATCTCCTGAGTGAGTGATGTCCTCAGCCCTTCCAACAGCATAATTCAGCTGCAGTGTACAGAAGGGGTTTTGAAACACATGGGATGAGAGAACTTTCAGCTCTCTTTCAGTTCCTAATACCTTTGCAGGTGTGTGTCCATGCATGGATGGAGGCTAGCAAGCTCTCCCTTTGCAGTGTAGACAAAATGATAGGTGTCCAAATTCAACAGTCACAGGAATAAAGAGTTTTAAATACAATTGACAATATCGGGCAGAGCTGAAGGAAGCTTAGCATTTTCTTCCACAATCTGGCCATCTTGCAGGTTTTTTTTTTATTTACCTTCAGTGTTCTGTGCTGGAGTCTTTCTGTGCCAAAGTGGTCTTTTTCCCCTTGTTGGTCTGATTGCTGTCTCTCGAGTAAGTAAATACTGTGAGCATCAGGAAGACCTACCTAGTGAGGGCTCCTCTGCCAAAATTTCTTTCTAAGTTTGTAATTTCTTCCTTTCTGGTAGCTAGTTCTGATTGGGAACACTCCTAGGCCTAAATGGTTAAAAAGATGTTACAGACACAAACTGACACTTCTTTGTTTAAATTCTAAGTGTTTTTTAGGGCTCCCATTCCGCATCTGTTTTTCTCCTTAGCTGAACAGAGAGTATTTTGCAACTGGGGGGGAGCCAATCCAACTAGACTAATATTTTTAAGCCTGAAAAATAGCCTGAAGTTTATGTGAACAGGGAATGTCTTTGGCTGAACTGATAAACCCCAGATTTAAATTTAGAGCACAGTTTTACTCTTTCATGGGACTTCATGGAACATTAATTGTGGGCAAATATAAAATAAGCACAAGCTCTTTGATGACATGATTATGGTACCTGGTTCCAGACTGTTACTACTGTTACTTTAAAGCTTTGGGCTCTGAGCTAACCCCACATTTATTTTATTTTTTATTTTTAGTTTTTTCCACTGTTCTAGAAATATTTAACAGCAAAAGCAATGAGAATTAGTAGTCAAGCAAGTTCCCATTTTCCAGTAATTACTCTTCTGGGTTTGGTACCAGTAGCCAATTCACTGTTGAGGTGGAGCCCTCAAAATGTGGCTCATTGCCTGTGTCCTTCCTTCCCTGCAGAGATAGCAGCAGCATCTTCTGCCATTCCAGAGAGCATCTGCTGGGAGTGCTCTTCTGGGAGCCTGACTGGGAGAGTGGAAGGGGAAGATCTCTTAGAAGCTGTATCATTATAGGAAACGCAGACTAGCACCAAAAGAAGAAAATCTGTTGCTCAGCCATGACTTTTTTCCCAGTCCATCTTTATTTAAACAGACAGAGAGAAAGGAAAAAAAAAAAAAAAGCTAACTTAGATCTTGATATATTCTGTGACTTCAGTTGCATTAAGTCATATTCCACCACCCACTGTGATATCTGAGGAGGGTTACACACCAGCTTTGTTATTATGGAAGCAATCTCTGTTACTCCTTATGTGTCATAGCCAAGGAATTTTGTGTGTGGCCATATATTTCCTTTCCTTGTCCCTGCAGGCTCCAACATCATTTCCTAAATTGAATCTATGCAAAGCAATCTTGTCCCATTGTGCTTGCCAGCAGTGACTGACTGCAGCTTGGCTCTTTGCTTTATACAAAGGTTCACCTCTAAACTGTGGGAGGGAAATTATCTCTATGAGCTTCACTCTGGTTTATCAGCAGATCCAGGACACCACAAAATAATCTCTGAAGTCCTTTTGTAGAACTTGACACCTGAGTCAGGGCCACAGTAGAGACTCCTTTGTCCATCTGGGATCCCACACCTCTCCTCTCTGCAGACAAAAAGCTTTTCTGTCACAGCAGCTGAACAGGGCTCACTGTTTTCCCTTTGAAATGCCAGTTGCTTGGGGGGCAGTGGTGCCCTTTGCTTCACTAAGTGATTTCCATTGGATCAAAACTGAAACTTTTTGGTAGTATCTGAAGAGGTGAATGCAGTCCTGCCAGCCTGGTTTTTTTTTTTTTTTTCTGGAAGGGAGAAAGACTCCTTGCCTTTGCTCTGATGAACACTTTGGAAAACCTTGTCCCAGTATGCAGAGCACAGGCCCTGGGGGAGCACAGGCTGATGCCTGTGCTGTTGCTGATACCTTTTCTCTCCTTTCCTTTCTTTCAGGGTCGCAACAACCTGGAGTGCCGTATTACACAGACCCAGGCGGACCTGGGATGAATCCCATGGCTATGGCTTTCCACGTCCAGCCCAACTCCCCACAAGGAAACCCGGTTTACCCACCCCCACCTTCCTATTGCAACACACCACCTCCCCCATACGAGCAGGTGGTGAAATCCTCCACATGAGGACTCTGGCTCTCTGACCTGACTGTGTGAGAAGAAGGTGCAATTGCAAAATGACCAAGATGGAGGGCGCCTGCCCTTTTGAACACTTGCTAATTCTCCAAGTCCTCTCTCCTTCCCTTCCCTGCACCTTTCCTCATTAAAGTTACTTGCAAAAGGGTGATTTTTAAATTTTTTTTCTTTTTTTTTTTTTAGTAGAAGTGGATTTTTTCTTTTTCTTCAAAATGAGAGAAGTTGTCTTTGTAATGCTTTTAATGGAAACCTATATTTAAAACCTGTATGTCTTTCTCTTTATTTATTGTTTGTTTCAATCAAGGTTTTAATTGCGTCGTGGCAGGTTACTGATAGCAGTTCTTGTGACCCCAGAGTGATGTGCAGCCTCCTAAGACCCCACAGCAGAAATGTCCTCAGCTAAGGGAAATGACAGACAAAGAAGATAAAGGTAGAAGCAGCAGGGCAATGATTTTACCAGAAATTGTGACTACCATCTTTTCCTTTTACTATTTTCTTTTACAGTTCAGTTCTGATGGATAACAGAAAGATGCTCTGATAAAAATCACTGTGACTAGAGTACCAGTATTGGTTGAGTTGTGGCAAGGGCTCTGCCAAGTGCCCTAGAAAAGAGGGAGTTGTTACTTTAAATGATGCATCCAGAATTAAGGACTGGGACTTGAGTGTTTCTTGCCCATCATGTGAACTTCACCCATGTGTTTGGGGATCTTGGCTCCCCTTGTTTTGCCAGCACTGAGATTGTATGAAACTGGTAATGACCTACATGTTGGCACGAGAGGAAGGTGTTACAACCTCAGAACTACTTTCACCTCTTGACAGAACAGTGAGAAACACTGAAATGCATAAGTTTTCTTCCTTCAATTAGAAAATATTTACAGTAAGAAGGAATGGAAGCATAGGTACCAGTTTACTCCCTTTGGCATTGATGGGAATTTAGTCCCTGAGAAATAGTTTCTTCCATTACAGTGTAACTGCTGCCACAAAGAGTACCAAGTAAAGCTGTCATCTTAGGTGACAGATCTGTAAATCTGCTCTCCTCTCTAGGTCAGAAAAGTAATACCTTTTTGGGACAGGCTCTTAATAGCATTCTTTGACCTGGTGCACAGATGGTTTGGCTTTCAATATCCCTTAGCTCTTCATGTATTTTGTTGTGAGTGCCCATGGCCAATCCTCTGAGTGACCACAAATGAACATCTTCGAATAAACACAGAGCCCCTTTGCCTGTGAGGGCTCTCACACCCATCCATGTCTAGCAAAAATTTGAAGTTGCTCTGAAACATGACTTCTGCTCATGGGACCTCCTCCCTTTGTGCATAGTGTCATGTCAAAAGAAGATGCCATTGCCTCCTGCTGCTGAAGGACCTGCAAAAATAACAGAGCTGAGGGTTAAGAGTCCCATGTGGTCTTTTGAGTACCAGGTGAATGCTCCTGTGTGACACCAGCCAGGGCACAGGGGTTTCACTGTGGTGGTTTGGAGTCATCTGAAGACCTGTGTTGCACAGGGAGCCAAAGCTTTATTGTGCTCTTGTTCTGTGCCAGTGGCTTTTGAACTTGTTTCTAGGTGTCAAGCTGGATTTGCAACACATCCCTTTTTCTGTGAATATGAGTGTCTAACAGAAAAACTTGTAAGGGCCACTGTTTCTTTCTGCTGGTGGAATGAGTAGCCATCTGGAGCAGAGCTAGCACTGGAGTTCATTCCTGCATACCTGACTTGGGTGAAATTGTAACCAAGGCTTTTCCTTACTGTGCATCATAATAAGGAAACAAAGGAAAGTACTTCTGTGCGTGCAGTCTTAGCTTGAGGGACGCTTCAGGTAACAAAAAAGTACATTTTATGGATGAATACGAGGACACAAGGTCCATCTGCACATCACTTGAAGTGTGAAAGCTGTGTATGTCACTGCGTATGGTTGTGTTTACAGAACATATTTTTTTAAAAGCAATTCCAACCTTTTTCTGTCAATAGGAATTACAGACCTCATTTTAATAGATAGGTGTTGTTAAGTCCTTTTATATTATAAAATGTATCTGTGACAGCTGGCTTTGTCCTGGACACACTGAACAGAAGCCTTTGTACAGTGAAATTCAACTTCAGGTGAAGTTTTCCTCAAGTCTGGCTCGTTTATTTCCTAGTGTTGATGGATGACACTACCTCGTACAACACAGGGAATTCTCTGCTAGCCAACTTGCTTGGTCTTTTCTGGAAAACACAGCTCCTGCATGGTCATCCATAGGCGTTAATTGCAGGTTGTTTACATGCCTTTCCTCCAGTTGCCTCGCCAGGTCCAACAGGATTTTACTTGGCACTGGCCATGCCCTAGGAGCTGCCAGCTGCTGCAGCTTTGCTATTGTGAACTTCCCCATGGGGTTTTGGTGCTTTATCTGCTGGGATTCTCTGGTTGCAGCCACTGCATCCTCTCTCAAACACTAGAGAGGTTTTGGTGCCTCCCAGAGGCAGGGTGGTGTTGTGACTGCAAAATAAGGTTGGTTGTCATGGCCGGGAGCCCTGGGGATCTGTGGGGCACTCCCCTGCCCTTTCCCAGAGGCACTGGGCCAGTGTGCAGCTGACTCCCAGCCAGTCTTTGAGATCTACCTCAGGCAGGTGATTTTTGTGTCTTGTGCCTGTCTGTCTCCTGGTTCTTGCCACTGCAAGTTTGATCCAGGGGGGTTAAACCCCTTGACAGGCTTGGCCAGAAGGGAGGTGCTTTAGTGGAGCCACTGAACCTGCTGTTCACCAAGGTGGGGAGCCAGGAGCATGAACAATGTAACCCCTCGAGTCCTTTCTTTGGCTCTGCATCCCCATAATGTGTCTGGTGTACCTCTGAGGAACCATGCAGGGGAGGACACCATTGTGGTCTCTGCCCCTGTGACCTGGCAGCAGGAAGAATGAGAGGGGGGTCAGTGCCCTTCAGAAATCTCCAGCTATGCTGCTTCATGGGAAGAGTCACCACCAGGGACTCTTGGTTCACCTTGCCTGTAGCTCTGGTGGGGCCTGTGTTCCATCACTTTGGGAAGTGATAATGTAGTGACGACTTCTTATGGTTTGTGGGTGTTTTTTGGGTTTATTTTTTCCTGTGGAATTTTTATGACAGTTTACACTGCTGTAACAACAAACAGCTGGACCTATATTTTCCAAAAAGGTATTCAGACCATGTGAAGAAGCAAAGGAGGTTTTCTTTCTTCTCTGCTTTAAAAAACCCAACTCCAAAACCTCAGATAGGTTAGCTCCATGTACATATATCCAAAATATCACTTTTTGGCACACAGGTTAGCCAAGAAGCCATAACATTTTTTCAGATAGTGAAGCCTGTCTTCTTTTTCTGATCTGACATTGCTAATTGAGTAGGTGGAACAGGATGCCTTTGTGGGCCCTGTGGCTGTGGAACCCTCCCCTTTGATGTCACCAGGAGCTGAGCTGCCTTACAGTCTGTACTATTTGGCAGGGAAATGACTACAGAGACACCACACAGGGCAGGATCCAGCATGAGACAGCTTTTACAAAGTAACTGCTAGATAATAAGGCAATTAAAGATGAGAGGTGCAACTGGCAGCCACTGTTCCAAGCTGCCATGTGCTGCAAGGTGAACGTGGCAGCAGAGAAGGCAGAGGGAACAGTGACAAATAGAGCAGCCCTGCCTTCCAGCATCAATCTGTTATTTTAGCTCTATGCAGTGAGAGGAGTCACAAGGATAGATGTCTCTTACCTGTCCCACTTTGCTTCTCTCCTGCTGCCTAACCCTATCTTACCTAATAGCTACAAGCTGAATTTACCACAATCCACTTGTAGATGTCAAGGAGAAGAAAGCAGTGGTTTAAAGTCAGGTCCCTGTGCACAAATCACACTGGCCCTGACTATGAATCAACATGAAACCAATGGAAACATATGGGAAAAAGGGAAGTTTCAGTAGGAAAGGCTGCTGCATCAAACGCCCTGCTGGGCAGGGCTCAGGCAGCACAGTGGTGACTCTGCCCTAGCTGTGAGGTGACACACAGCACATGCACTGCCTCCCATGCATCTCATGTGCTGTTTAGCTGTTAAGAGATCTGCTCTGCTAGAGAAGCCCCAATGCCATTATAACCTACACCTGAATTTGTACAGATTGTCTGCAGACCAAACTGATCCTCTCCATCCAAAAAAAGCAGCAGTTTCTCTTGGTGGCCAAGATAGCTATGAGTGACACAAAGGGCAGTGTGAAACAGAAATACTGCCCTTGGCCTGCAGCATAATTGATGTTTCCTTCTGATGTTTCCTTCTGTTAAAGCCTAGCTAGAGAAACATTTCAAACTTCCTCAAAGGTGGGAAACAGCTTTTACTCAGCTGGACAGGGAGATTTCATATATGTGTTTTAAAAACCAGTTCATTCTGAGTCTGGCTTTAGCAGCAAACTCTTCAACAGGATCTGTGTGGCCACAAAAGAAAGCAGAGCTTTGCACTAAGCAAAGCACTAAAGCACTAAAAATCATCTGGGAGCAGCAGCAGGAAAGGCACCTGCAGTGCTAGGAAAATGGGAAGGTTACAAAACCAGCAATCTCTTTTTGGCGTGTGTTTCATCCTGCAGGACTACAAGATAGGGAAGCAGCTCAGCAGTCAGATCAGTGGGACAGCTAGCACCACAGTGCTGGAGGGAAGGAAGGAGAACCACAATGAAGAAAAAAAGACTCACACAAATTACCACCACATAGCTTAATCTTTACTAATAAAGCCAAAGAACAAAACATCAGCATTTTTTCCTCTTTTTCTGCCCAAAGAGCATTTCCATTTTTAACACTACTGCTTTTTGCAACAGATGAACTATTACACACAAACAAAGCAAACCAGGGAATATTAAGACATTTTCTACATTTGTAGTTTGATGTCATTTCTGAAGACAATGCCTTGGTGAAATGCCCTTTTTCACCTTCACACTGTGTCTTTCCTTAAGGGGCCACCTAGATACCTCAATGCTGTGACAAACAGGAAGGAGGAGCCACGGGGAAAGTCACGTCAGGAAGATGAGGCAGGTGCACTGTCAAGACACTTCCCAGCTCAATACATTTCCAGTCTTACTCAGTTCTGAGAGGGCTCTGCAGAGGAAGATGGTGCCAGGCCCCACCATGGCAGAAGGCTGGCTGTGGTACCAAAGAGCAGGTAGCTGACTTGCTCATTAGCTTGACAGGTACACTTCAGCATCCTGGGGATCTGCTCAGCATTCAGCTGTTCTTACTGTGGATATATCTGTGCATTTTAAAAACTACCCGGTTTTAATTCCCTTTAGGCCCCAGCCAGCCAAACTTACCTCCCACAGGAGCCATTCCAAGCACAGTAGCCAAGACCAATATGCAGATAATCACTGAATGAAAAACCTGCCAGCTGACCCCCTAGTTAAACAGTCCACACAACAGAGGCCTGGGATTTGCCAGGGTGGCCAGTGTTGGCAGGCAGTTCCTGTAAATGTGGTGAGCCCGTCCCCTGTTCACACACCCAACATGCTCTGCACCCACAGTGGAGGGGAAGGAACAAAGAGGTGGGTGAGGAACAAAGGGGTGATGTGAAACAGGATCAGAGCTGCCATCCACCTCTGTTAGTATTTCTCTGAGACTTCCCGGGCAAGTTTCCTTCCTGGCTTTTCTATGGGCAGGATCAGGGATCCACAGGCTGAAGAAAGACACAGTTAGCTCTTGGCATTCTTGGCATGGAGGAATCTCTTATCGAGATGTCTCTGTTGGTACATTGTGCATTGCCTGCATGATCTTCCAGCTCTTCCTGTTCCTCACTGATTCTCCACATTAATAACTCCCTCTGTTCCTCACTTTACTGCTCTGCTCCTGTTTGCTTCAGCCCAGCTGCTTGCCATGCAGCATTCCCCACTCCCACTGCCTTTCAGCATTTTCCCCAGTCTCTGGCTATAGAGATGCAGCTGGGTTTGTTGCTCCCATCTCACCTTCTGCCTTTGCCAGAGGGGTGGAGAAGTCTCTTCTGCTGCTCCCATGTTTTAATCCTCCCTGACAAACCAGCAGAGAAGCTGCTACACTGTGATGGTAAGCTGTTTGTGCACTTACATTGCTGCTGCTGTCCAGCAGAACTGAATGGAGAAATTATTAACATTGCAAGGGATGTGGCAACGGGCACTGGAATGTGCTCTAGGAAGTCACCTGCCAGGTGACAAATCAAGTCTGATTTATGCAGGAGCAATAGTGCATCTCCAAGCCCAACCACAGACACTGGCACTCAGCAGGTGGCCCACAGGTCACACATATCCTGATGTGTGCCCAAAAGGTCAAACTGTGCCATCTGTCACACTTACACCTGACAGAAGATACCAATTAAAATCAGCACCTGGACTGAGACAGCACAGGAGACCTGGGGGAGGATGACCACAGAGCCTGAGTGACTGGGAGTGCACTACACTTCAGGTACTACCTGACACATAAGCCTGCTCTGAGAGCACTCAAAGTATGTCCCACTTCTCCCAAACCAATGGCCTGATACTCAGGAGCACCTGGAGGCAGGTCTAGTACTTCACAACCCCACCACACTACAAGGGGAAGCAAAGCACTAGCAGCAGTTAAGACTATGGGAAAAGAGCTTTTACTGTGTGGATTTGAAGATGAATTATACTTCAATTACAGCCACTAGCAATGGCTTCATATTGCTCAATAATCTCTGCAGCTTCCAAAAGCAGCTGGTACTTATCACTCCTGTACTACTGCATGGGAGGGGAGGGCCAGAACAAATCACCACTTTGGTTCCAAAGTAACAACCATCCTGAGCTACCTGCATGGGAGGCTTGCCCTGGCAGCCTCCCTTGCTCATGTGTATATGAGATGCTGCAGGAGAGGTTTATTCCAAATCGAGGTCTAGGAAAGGAGAAGCAGTTCTGCTGTTCAGGCTCTGCTGTTGGTGGCAGAGGGAGGTCAGTCCGAGTGACTCCACCTGCAGCTTAAGCTCAAGGCATGGGATGGGCTTTGCAGCGGTGGGAAGGAGCATCTCCACCCTGCTATAAGCACCTAACACACTAACCAGCTGCAGCTATCACAGGGAACAACAGAAGCAGCCTCCCACAACAGCAGCAAAAGACAAATCAGATCCCTTCCAACCTGCTAACTTTCTGAAAACAAAAACGGCCTCACGCCTCTTCAACAAAACAGGCTGATCTCCACCAGCTTAGCTTGTAAGGACTGTGGAGAAAAAGGCAGAAAAAAATGAACACAGAAACATTTTCACCTCTCTGTAGAGCTGCCAGCACACCAGTGAAGCTGGGCACCGTCCTGCAGCGAGCTCTCCCTGCGGTAAGCACGCTGCAGAAAGCAACACTGCTCTTGTGAGTCATGCACGGAGGTACAGGACAGAGATTCACACGGAGACCAGCTTGTGGCTAACAACAAAGGACTCGGATCAACACACAACACCAATAAACGTGCAGAGCATGGCAAAGACCTGAAGAGACAAATACAACAGAAAAGAGAAAGTTCAAAACTTGACTTCTCTGGTCCTACATCTGAAGGTGTCACTTTAACAGAATTTAGGTGTGGCTTCTCCTGTTCATGCTCTAAAGACTTCATGGTCCTTTGGGGCAGAAGGGGTGAGAAAAGGGCTTTATCCATCTGTCGGTTCAGCGTCAAGTTCGTTCACTATCAGAGGCACGAAACAGTCTCATCTCTTTTGGCATCAGTTTCCTTTCAAAATGATGGTTTTAGCTGTCCTGTTCCACTTTGTTTTCTCTCCTTTGAGGTCTAAGTTCAAACGCTGGAAACTGGGAAGTCTCCGGTACTGAAATGTCTGAGAGGAAGTGAATAGCTCCAGCCATGCCTAAAACATAATGAGAAGGAGATCATTGTGCACATTAAAATAGCACAGCTGACAGCAAAGGCAACAGCACCTATCTGAACACCTCCCTCACTAGCATCTTTTTTAAAAGAGGTGAACTTAGGCCCTACAGAAAGGCAAGTTCATCTGTACTTTGCCCAAAAACCAGATTTTCTTTGGAAATATCAAAGGCAAGAACCAAGATGTCTCTCCTAACATGACTTCAACTGAACAACCTCAATGCTATTTCAAATTAAGAAAAAGTTAATCCAAGCTTGGACTGTCCTTCATAATTTGAGCAGCTCTTGCTTCTCATTTCATTGGTTAAAAGAAAAAGGCAGAACTTTATTGCACTTGTGAAGTACAGATTCATTTCCTCACTATCCATTAAGAGGCCATCCAGACCCCAAAGTGCATCACCCAGCAGAACTCAGAGAGTGACAGACAGGAGAGGCACAACAAGGAAATCGTGCAAATACAAGTTCGGTTTCATGCTAAAATCCTATTTTATAAACAGCTATGCATACATATAAAGGAACCTTTCTGAATTACAGTATCTGATTGAAACAAAACACTTAGGACAATTCCATAAGATGCACATGCAACTTCTGTTCGAAGCACACATGTTCAGGCAGAATTGGACAACTGCAAGCATGATTTTGGCTTCAAAAAGAAACAAACCCCCAATTTAAGAAGTTTTTCCATCTCAAATAGGAGACTTCTGTATTTTTCTTTTAAAAATCTAGACAATTAAAAACCAAAATATAAGCCCTATGTCAGCATTCAAGCACAAAACATCCATCTCTTTGCACTGTTTCACTTTCTCAACAAATTTCAAAGTTTTTATACAACAGATTGTATGCATGCTCTTTTCCCTCCCTACAAGAGCTCTCAGGAATAGGAATACTTATGCTTTTCTCCTTTAAGCATTAAGACAATAACTCTGAATTTAGTAGGGCTGCATATAAACTCCTGCTCTATTGTGTTCATTCACACCCTGGATTGTTAATTTGCAAATACCCCTGCTCGGCTGCTGTAATTTCAAGTATCTGCGGCAGGTGGCACACGAGGCTCGTTATTCACGGAGCAGCCACGGTGCTACCTTAAATCCCACTTGGATCTGTCATTCCTTGCTACTGATTCTGGAACATGAGGATGATACAAGGAATAGAAAATAAGCTATATTTAAAAAAATACAAAGCTCTAGGAAAGTATCTGGTAACATCTTGGAACTTAAGACAAGCCCCTAAGAACTCTGCACTGCTTTCCTGTTCAAGTGATTTGGGTTCATATTAAAACTACCTTTTCCTTGGTTGAATATGGCAGCAGAGAATGCCTGACAGCTAGCAGCTAGCTGGAGACCCCCTACCCACAGCTGCTCCTCTGCCCAGTCCCTCTGAAAAACCACCTGTGACAAAACTGCTGCCTGAACTTCTGTTTGCTTTAAGCCAAGCTGCATCAGCACAGCAGAATTTTATTCTGGAGTAATACTGCCACTGGTTTTACATTCAAGCTGCTGAAATGAAAGCAGGAGTGAGAGCTGTGACAGTGAATGATTCTTCTTTGTCCTTTTCTACCCCCTGCCTTCTTTTAGGCAGAGATGATGGCATGGGGGGGTTTAATAGTGGAGGAACCCACCAAAGACTTCCCAACTCCTACACATGTGCCAAAATTGCAAGGATGCCCCTCTTTCCTGTAGTACAAGACCATCTGCAACACCAGCACTTTACCTTCAAAGAGGGAATAAGGTCGGTCAGGAATACGACATCCATGTGCACCATACTCTAAACACCATTCAGCAAACTGGGGAACACATTAAAAATATATTTTTACTCAAGACTGTTAAATGCTAGCATGAGTATCTGAATATCATTAATAGGTACAGAATGTGAAGCAGTGTAAGCAGACACACAATACATAAATCACTGAGATCAATTTGTCCTCCTTCAACCATGACAAGGCCTGCAATCAGGTTTTAAAATATGTATTTGCATAGAGTGAGTTTCAGTTTCATAACAATGTAATGGTGGGTTAGACATCTGCTTTTTGTAAATCAACCCTGCTACATGCCAAGGAAAAATGCTGTAAGAACAGATAAACTCAGTCAAAATTTTACTAATATTGTACCAGTCTCTTATCTCTCTTGTTGCTTAATTTATCCACAAACTGAGGACTTATAGCTGTTAATTGCATTTTGGTTTTCTTTCATTTCTGTGCACCAATTTAGAGTATTCAATCTTCAGCTGTCATTAATTAGTTTCATTTATTTGCTCTTCCCAAGCCTTATGAAAAATCTTTATAAATAAAGTTAGACAATTATGGTCATCAATGTTTTGTTGCAGGAGATGGATTACCATTAAAAAGAGTTAACAGTTAAGTGTCTTTCTCACATTTGATCAGCACTGCTGCTGTAGCTACATTAGACACACATGGCTTATGAACCACACCTGGATCAATTCAGTAACAAGCAGCTACTTCTCCTTTATAGCTCCCCAGAGCATCAGGGGGCACAAGCTCCCCTGGCATTTCTGTGCTTGGACACAAACCACTGTTTGTTTGAAATACATGCACAGACTCCTGCAAAGCAAAGGACTGAGAGGTCTCTCCCTGCTCCCTCTGCAGTTTGGCTACCTGCTGGCAAACACATCAGCCTAACTAGAGGGTGTCCCTGCCCTAGAGCTGGGGCTTTATGGGGTCTAAGCATGACTCCAGAGCCATCAGTCTGTTCATTAGAAGGAAAGGGGTGGTATCTCCTTTCTCCCTCACCTCCCCACTCTGCTCTGTTTAAATATTTAGTGGAGGATGATGATCTTCTCTTGATAGAGGTATGTGCATATGTGTGTGTCTTCAGGAAACACAAGGAAAAACCACAAACACTGTGATTCACACTGTTATTAAGAACTGATTAAACATTTCTGTTCACCCTCTGGGTATAGATCTCCAAACTATGGTTGAATTCTCCCATGTAATCCTGTCTTAAATGTGAGGACCAAACATGTTTATGGCATATTTCTAAGATACAATCAACTCTTGCAACATCCACATCTCATTGCACACTAGCCTTGATTATTACTTCCAGCCTGGGAACTGCAACAGATGTTTTAAAAATGCACCTTAGGCTACTGAAACACAACCATCATTTGCAAGTTCATAGCTTCAGCACAACTGTGATTCAGTAAGCCACAGGATCTTTGTTTAACTGGTGAGGGGAGAAGAAACAATATCTTAGGAAGACATCTGACATTATTTGTCAGACAGACTGGCATGCTTGCCACCAACAGTGGCAGTCACAATGCTGAACAGCACAGGGCTCAATGCTCTGTTGCCTGCAGCCCAGGATGCCACAGCCCCTGTCTCCTCTTACACACAGACCAGCTACGAGTGCCTCAGCTCCTGACAACTTGAGAGAAAAGCTGTGAGGATAAAATGTGAAGGACAAAACAGGGGTCTTCTCTGTTCAAGTTCTTGTGGCTCATTTGTGAAACAGCTTCATGGCTTTTCAAAGCAGGTATTCCAGGCAAGACTCCTTCCCCTGGGCTTGATGTTTTTGGTGTGAAGAAGCACTCCTGGGAGGGCAGCCATCTCATTCTCTCAGTTACATGCCTCTAGGTACCAACAAAACAACATGTTTGCTTCCCTGCACACTCTGGCTCAGAAAGAAAAGATTTCAAGAATGCCAGACAAGCAAATTCCTCTGCCTGTTTCCCCTTACACTGCCTGTTGTCTCCCCACTCTCCCACTTAGCATCCCCAAGGGGATGCTGGAGATGCTGAGAGGCAGAGTGGCTGCAAATCCACTGCCTGACTAAGGTGGGCAGCTCCAGCAAACAGTCTTTGGCCACAGCATCACAACCTCCTTCTTAAAGGAATTTCAGTTATGTATCAGAGTCTCTGCCTTTCCTGGCTTTGAGACAGGTATGTTAGCTTTTCTCTAGACAGGTGTGGACAAACACCTGGGCTCTCTTGGGCCAGAAATGCAGCAGCACCAGGAGCTGCCCAGAGCTGCACAGGTGTGCTAGCACGGAGGATGATAGGGAGAGCTGACAGCCATGCTGCCAGCAATGCCTGCAGGGTGCTGTGGCTCACACACCAGCAGCGGGTGACTCCATGTGTAACAAAGTCACACATTTGCTGTGGGAGCACTAGGGCTTTATTTCAATCTCTAGGATGCAGGTATGTCTACAGGTGTCCTCACAGCATGATGCTTTGGTAAATGTGAGACAAGCAGCAGATTTTTACAGCTCTGCTGAGAGAGGACAGGCTGACTGCAGAGATGAATACAGTAACTTTACATATGGCCAATATTCACTAAAAAACACCTAGGAAGCAACTCATCAAATTTCATTTGCAATACTGTGTAAAAGGCTTCAGCTAAAAAGCTGTGTACACAATATAAAACCTCATGTCAGTGAACTAAACTGGGAAAAAAAAAACCAACAAACCAAACCAAGGTCTTGCAAGGTAAGAAAACAGGCAGAGAAAGCCTTCTCCTTCAGTAAGTGCTAGCACAGTCAGGAGCTGAGAGCAGAACTTGGACAATTCCAATGGAAAAGTTCTGAGTGTGTCTTTCTCTGCAATTTGTATTAAAAAAAACTCTAAGTGAGCAATTCAATAACTGCAATTCAGAGCTCTAAAAGCCCCAAACAGGCACTAGTTTGAAAACAAATAATTACAAAACACAAATACAAACAGCTTGAGGACCTGAGGAGGACAGTGAAACTCTCAGTGGAATAATTAGCACCACATAACATCAGTCTGTTATTGTTCAGGCAGGCTAATTTTCAGGCTCTTATTTTCTTCTGAATACATTTAGTCCCTCCCCTCTTACAAATAATTTGTCTGTTTCACTCTGCTTATCAAGACAGTGCCTGCCCGACAGACACAGTTGAAGCTGTCCAGCCAAAGTGAGTGAAGTGGAGCAGGGATGGGCCCTGTTACCCCACCCAGTGTCCCAGCCAGCCCCAAGGCACATCAGCCCAGCCCCAGCCCAGTCTGTACAGGCTGTACTGGGATGTGGAAGGGAGCAGTGATTCTGCTGGCATGCTGCAGAGCTCACCTTGCAAGCTCGGTAGAGGTACTTTCTGTCCTGAGTTAGGTTATAGAGAGACAAGAAGGAGTAGCCATTGCCAGCAGTACCATGGCAGATCCCATACCCTTTTCTCAATAAACCTCTCTGCCAGATGACATCACTGCAATCCATAGCATCTTTCAGGTATTTATCCTCTTTAAAAGTCTGTGGAATAAAAACAGAGAATAAACACACATCAATTGAAGTATTAATGAAAACAAAAGGAAGCTGCTCCTGACAGATGTTTTGCTGTTTGTGTAGAGTTTTTCCATATAAATTTTATTTTTAATAATCTATTCTTCATAGACTTCTCTTTCTTTCCTTAGTAGGTTGTTTCTCCTTTTCCTGCAGGGTAAAAGAAAAAGCTTTTCTGGTTTTTGCTTTCAAAATCAGGACCCCCAAAGAAAAAACTCAAGTTCAAGGCCTTTGGTTCTAAAACCTACAATCTATTTGAACATTATGTGGTCCTTTTTTCTTCATTTTCTATTCCCAAACCACAATTTGAAAATACAGAAATGTGATGCTGCCTCCAAGAAACGTAAAACAGAATAATGGATATCAAATCTGGTCCTAAATTGCTGGTCTGGTCTTCATGACTAATTCTTCCTGGTTGCTCACTGTCTGCCTTCAATTCCACGTCAAAAATGCACAAGAATATCTCTTTGCATAGCACAGGACTCTTTTCTCTGCCACAAATACAAGCAGGAACCCCACATTTCCTTTATGAGTACTTGTACTAGTATATTTGTAGAGTATATATGCAGAAGCAGTAGTCAGTTTGAGCAAAGGAACACTTTTGCAAAGTTTACTGCAACTGATATACATTTTAAACATAGAGGGCTCATACAGAAAGAAGCAAACAAAAGCAAGTAATTTAGCTGATTAACACCAGAATTCCACCTTCATAAAGCCACTTTGCTGCTCACCTTTGCCTAAGTCACTTTACAGATCAACAAACAAACAAAACCCCAAACCAACAACAACAAAACCCCAACCAAAATAACCCCAACAAAACAAACCTGATGCACTGCTGTAGACCTAGTCCTTTGGAGATGGTATCCCCTGCCAAACTATTTAGTAAGATAATAGAAGCAACTAACATGCAAGATTCTTAAATTCACAAGCTTGATACAGGAAGTGCCTATCTCTGAACAGGGTTTGCCAGCTGCTTAGCCATAACATTTTGAATTAAGGCCTGGTGACAGCACTTGATTTCCAGGACAAACACTGCTGTCTGTTATCACAAGTCCTGTGCCTGGTATGAAAGCATAGCCAGCAAACACATGCCAACTTTTTTCTTTCAGTACTTCAAAAAGAAGAATGTAAAGAATAATAGAAAAACATATGTTTCATCACTTTAAACACAGGTTGAGGCCAAAAAGGAGACTGCTAATCAGAACTTAGTCCTATCCCTCTCACCTCTTGCAAAACATTTTGTGCTGGGGAAAGCGTGACATTGACAAAGAAGGAGAGAGTGGAGAAGTGTTAAGTCAATCTCCTGCCCCAGTCCAAAGAAAAAGCAACTACAACTGCTGTTACATGTAGCAATGCTGTAAGAAATTTAAAGTTCACATTTCAGGTAGCAGCATAAGTAATTATTCCATAAACCAAGCCTGCTTTTCATCAGCCCACCCAGATGCCAACCAGGGAATCTGTCAAGGAGGGCTGTCAAAAGCAAGAATCGATTTGCATAAATTTAATTAAATGGCATACTTTCAAATGTCACACAAATCAGAAGCACACAAAAAGTCAGATAGCAAACCTAGTTAAGAATGGAGAAGGGCAAACAGCAGGTTTGTGGTAGCTCAGCAGTTTTATTTATGCCCTGGAAGGGGCCTGGGATCTTAGCTCTGACATTAAGTTCTTGAGAGTTATATCTTAATAAAGGAGTAATTTGTGGAAGACATTCTTTGGCAAGGCACATGAACCTATATTTTTGAAAACCAACATAATTGTTAAAACTCTTGGGATGAGAATTTAATAAATTAAATTATTAATTAAATAAATTAATAAAGAATTTATGTCAAAGTTCTCACATCCAGGACTCTGATGCCAAACTCTTTAAATATACATCTTTTTTCCAAGAAAGCTTAGTAACTGCTAGTGCCCTGAGAAGAAATTTTACCCACTTATTTTCTCTTTAAAACATACCAATGTAAGTATTCTGAGATTCTTAGGTGTCTTGCTTGGGGTTCTTGTTCAAAAGCCTACATCTAGAAAGATATCTTATAAAGTCTTGCAAACAAACAGGCCTGCACATAAGTCTCTCTGTAAAGACAGAGGTATATATACATACATATGTGTATATATATATATATATATATACAAATATCTAAGAGCTTGGTGCTAATTACACCAAGGCTGTGGCTTTGATCCCTGCTCGGACCACAGACTTAAGGGCTGGACTCGATGATCACTGTGGGTCCCCTCCAACCCAGAATACTCTGTGAAATCTATGAACACAGAATGATTTACCTTATAAGCCTGCATGAGCATGTGGATGACTCCAGGGGCACCATGGCACCAGTGAACCAGCCTGTCAGTCTCATTGCTCAGCGATGATGGGTAATTCCCAGATCGGAATTTTTTATGACGCACGTAGTCAATGCTTGGCTTCACCAGCTCTGTCAGGGTCTCCTGGTCCACATTTGCAATTGGCTGAGGAAAACATTAAAATAAACATCACTAAATACACCAACAGAAGTAGTAACAAACTGTGTCTCAACACTTAATTCTACAATCTGTTTTCAAGTATCCTACATAAGTGACCTTGATCCAAATACTGTGAATCACATCCTACAGATTTAATTAATGCCTGCTTATTACACCCTTGCTAAGAGCATTTTTACAGTCATTGCAGAGACAAAGAAATTGGGGCACCAAGTTGTTACCTGTCTTAATGGAGGTGACACAGAAAGATAATGGAAGAACTGAGAACAGAGTATGACGACTCCCAGACCTCTCTTTGTGACTTAAAATAGGGACAACACTTACAGAAGAAAGACAGTTTTGTACACATGGTGCTCATAATACAGACTTCCAATATATTGGGTTACACATTTTGTTTTAAAAATAACTATTTCCCAACAAATGAAGGAAAGTGTATATAGCAGCATACCTGGCAAGGGCTTTATGAAGGCTGAAGTTCTCCATCATAAACAAAGCTCCCTGAAGCTATGGGCTATAAATCTGCATTTCCAATTTCAGAAGCAATAGCTACCTCACCAAATACCTAAACATCTTTGTACTACAAAATCACCCTTCAGTTGCTCCTAGGAATTTCCTTTCTAATTTTTTTGTTTAATTTACATCCTTGTCAAACAGAGAACACATCCATAATCCTGCATGCTCCTTGAAACTAAAGGTTTAGAAGCCAAGTAACTGTGGTGTCTGCATTTGCTCTTGTTTGGCATTCCCTCCACTACCAGCCCATTTTCCACCATTGTAACAGCAGAGCTCTCTATTTTGACACAATCTATATGATTTCTGGAATTTCTGCAAGCTTTGGGAACAACCACAGGCACTGGAGCCTATAACAGCCTAATAACTGACCTTATTTTTTAAAATAACTTGTCTTTATTACTGATTCAATGTCATAAAATTCCACTGATTCCCATCAGCTGCAGCACATTTGTATTCAACAGGTGAGCACACTTCTAGAATTCAAAGTCTAGCAGCCAAATGAATGTAAACTTTCAATAGCTATATTTTGAATAACCTGAAGAAACGAGAAGCCTCTATTTCCCCTCAGCCAGAAGACCTCTGCCAGACTTCTATCCACCAGGTCCCTCAAGCAGACTGTTCCTGCTGCTCATCAGAAGTACACCTGAATACAGAGCAGCTTGTCATGAAAAACACCCCAAAGCTACCCAGCCCTCACTCAGAACCCTCCCTGTGTGGTAGGGAGGCTTCACAGGAATGTTTGTTTTGGGGCTCTTGATTTCACAAGGCAATCCTGCAGAAGAAGGCAAAGAGGATGGGCACCAGCAATAAATGCCTTCAGTCAGGAGCTGTGCAAGGCAAGCCCAGGCCAGCTCAGAAATCCTTAGGAGGTAAATCCAAGAAGAGCAGGGCTCTTTACAAACCTCCTTACCTTGTGCTTCCAAGAAGATTTGAGTACAAAGGAGTTTCTTGCCCAAGCTGCTGAGGCTCCCAGCACTTACTTCAAACAGGCAAAGAGTAACCTACAGGTGTGTGTCCTGACTTTCTGGCCAAGAGCAATGGTATGCAAACAGACACTTGTGTTTCAAGGTTAGTGAAAAGATCTTAGAGACTTCCAAGCTAGCACTTCAGAATGCCCCCTCTTCCTCCTGGATGAATTATTTAACATGGCTAAGCTCTTATTCTTCTAGCAGCCTGTAAATAACTCCAGCAATACCTGTTTTCTCCAGTTTAAGAAGTGTTTGGACAACACTCTGGGAACATAGTATGATTTTTGGGGTGTTCTGTGCAGGGCCAGGAGTTGGACTTGATGACCTTGATTTGTCCTTTCCAACTCAGCATATCCTATGATTGTATGATATAGGTGTTGTACAGGAATTACCCTCAGTAACCTTCACATCTCAGGTGCAACGTTCAATGCCTTTTTTTTGTTATCAAATAACCACTCAACAAACCATCTCTTGAATTCTTTGATGAAAATACAGCAAAATTCACCCCATTTGGCGTGGGAGGGATGAGGAAAGTATGGGACTCTGATATGCCATCTTCTTCTGCAGTGGATGACTCAACTTTGCATGACTCACAATATTTAACATACAGTGAAAATATGGTAATGTAATGCTGCATAAACAATGGCTTTCTGGTAATTCTTAAGAGCAGCAATTACATGTAAAGGAAAAATAACTAGAATTTTAACATGTAGATAGAATGGCTTCTCCTCAAACCAAAAAGCAATGTGCAATGATTTCTGCTATCAACCTCAAATAGTAAATGAAGCATGGAGCCTTTAAGGAGCCTTCCTTAGAAGACTAGATGTTTCTCTGAAAATCTAGCACAAGCAGGGAAAGAGAAAGAGAAGCCAGAAAGCTGAAAGAAGCAGAAGGGGGTGGACAACCTTGCTGAAGAAGGCAGTAGGTAAAGATAGGAACAGGGTAAATCAGAGCAGCCTGAGGCCCCAGTGGGTTGGTCACTGCAGAAAATGGGTATAGTAAGGTCAAGACACACCCCAGGTAGCAGAGCAGTAGCTACTTCTATAGCAAAGTCAGCTGGTTCAACCAGAACTGCTGGTGGAAATGGTGAAAGGTAATGCAGTATTTTTTCTAAGCAAGGAATGGCTGAGCAGTAGCAGCACCAAATACCAGCTCAATCACTTCTGCAGTGAGCACTGGTACAAAGCTGCAGACTGTGAGGATGTACAGTCCTTCCATTTGCCTGAAGAAAACTCATTCTGCATGAGCTGGCAAGGAAATTGATATTTACAGAGATGTGCAGACTGGCAGCAGCACCTTCAAAAACCAGAAACAGGTGCAATAAAGTTTTGTAGTTCTGTGGCAATCTTCTATAATGAATCTTAAGACTCTTTTCCCAGACTGTAGAACAAAAATAATCATAAACCTATTGCAAATCTCAGGGCAGGGGGAATTGATTTAAGTATGAGAAAGAGGAGGTTTACAGAAGAGAGGAATGTCACTAAGGAAAACAAAAAGAGGAAAGCAGAGGTCATAAATACACAAAAGTACATCAGACTTTTGTGTGAGAAATAGGGGAGCCAAGGAAGAAGAAAAACATCTAAATATTAAAAGCATACTGAAGACAAATATGTGACTAAGGATAGTCTTCCAACAGCACCAAGACAGTGGAGGGAGAGAAAAAAATCACTGCAGAAGAGAGGAAGGGCATGGAGGACAGGAGGCATCAGCGGTACAATAATTTTAAAACAGCAAAAAGTTGAAGAGTGATGGATAATGAGTAAGTGAATTTTTAGCTGTTCTAACTGCAGGTACCAGAAGAAGTATGATGATGAGAGAAAGCACTTCACTGTCTTTGCTGAGGACAAGAAACCAGATCCTGAAAAGCTGGTGCTCTGAACCACAGCTCAAGAGTTAATTCATTCTAATGTGATCCTACCCTAGTCACAGTTTTCCTCTGCTACCAAACCCTTAGGTACCACCTCAGCACAGCTCTGTGCTGCAGTCTAACTCCAAGTTGTGAGACCCTGATCCAGCACAACACTGCACACGCATGAAAGCTGAAGATAAGATCCCTCTGATCAAAAAATCCCTGCTACCTCACCCCAGCCAAGAGAAGATGCTCTTACCTGCATGAGCATGTAATAGATGCCAGCCACTCCATGGGCTGCTCCAACATACTGCTTCCTGTGCCACTGGTACAGCAGAGGACAGCGCTCTGTCTTCCGCTCCTCCTTGGAGAAGTTCTTCCCCGACTCAATAATAGCATCTATTACCTAAGGAAAAGAACATATCCTGATGTTGCTTTCTTCAATTCAGAGGGTTTTGCTTCTGCATGACTAAACTCACAACAAACAATAAGCCACAATACAGTGGTAGGACAACAATATTCAATTCATTTGGATTTGAGTGCTGAAGGAGAAAAGGTATTTTCCTTAATGATGAATTCAATTATATTTTAAGAGTAAAAATTTAATCTATCAATATTTCTAATTACTTTTTTTCCAGCCCTGGCTTCTCTGGTTCTGGTATCCGCAAAATGGTCATGCATGCTCCCCACGGTAAATTTCCTTTCTTTTTACTTAAAATACTTGCACACTTCTGGGGTTTTTTTGGTAACAATGTCTCAAGTGGTCAAAACTAGTTACATATTGACTTATTTCCTTGGCTGGACACAGACCCACCCACACTGGCCTGTCCCAGCCCCAGCTGGGCAGCAGGGAAAGGGGGAAGAGACTGAATGAGATGAAATTGGGTTTCCAGCTCTAGGCCCCTCTTCTCTCCAGCACCCCTCTCTTAAATTGCTTGAAATATGTATGAGAGTGATCCCAGTTCAACCTCAGTGATACTGTGATGCTGGAGAGAGAAAAGTGTCCTACCTCTTTGATAACAGACTGTGGGACAGTGTCTGGACCGATTTCAGTGTTCAGGTACAGCAAGGCATACAGGTAACCTGCTCTGCCATAGAGCAGCTCATCTGGAAGTTCAGAATCTGTGCTGATGACTGTCCTCTGGAGCTGCAACAACCTGCATCAGACAAGGAAGGTGGGGAGAGAGGATCTTCTGTAGAGATCACACTGCATTGTACAAGCCCATCAATCCAACCAGAAAGCAGAACAAATGGTGAAGCCCCACCAATCCCCTTCAACCACTCCCAGTCCAGCTGACTCTGGGTTTACAGGCAGGAGTTCTGCACACCTGCCATCCTGGAGATGGGAAACTCTGAGCCAGAGCCAGGCCAGTATCAGCACAGCTGTCAGGATTCTGTGCAGGCAGAAACAGATGCAGGGTAGGAGGTGGAGAAGACCAGAGAGCTACTCCAGCAAAGACAGAAACTTCCTGGAACCTCTGGGAATTTCACCAAAGTGAGGAACACTTAATTATACATGTTTAAGACGGAAAAAAACAAACACACAAAAAACCCCAATACCACCATTCGTTGTTCCCTCTCCTAAGAAAACACACTGTCTCAAACATTTAGCACCTCAGTTTTGAAAAGCACACTGCTACAATGCACAAGTGTTTTGCTTGCCTTTAGCAGTGAAAAAACAAGAAACAAGAAGCGCTGGCCATGGTAATCCTCATTTTCTCCAGAATGACTCTCTACTAATACTCTACCAGTCTGTATTAGCACCGAGGTGGGTCAGAGATCTGTTTTAGGACCACTCCCTCCCTATCTCTTCCTATCTTTTCTGATTAAATTGATATTTAGATGAAACCATGGTGATGATCCCATTTTAAATTGGGGGAGGGGTAACAACAGTCTGGATTAAGACCAAATTCAATTCCCAGATTCCTCCAGCTATTATTTCTCAGGAGAAATGTTACCATTAATATCAGGTCATGGCAAAACCACTGACCCCAATCATGTGTTTATGCTATCCCTGCTTAATACTAGGGAAAAGCCACTAAAAAACCCCCGTTTTATATCTCCTTTCTCAGAACTATAATTTGGGTTTATAATTAAATGATTTTCTTCTAAATTGTCCACTATTAAGTTTTATTGTTGAACTCATACAACTGGACAAGATAAAAAGTTACAAGTGAAATCACAGATTATATTTTGACATCTATAATGTACCACTCAGCTGGTGTCATGTATTTATTTGTAAACAAAAAAGTTATAAACAAACAATCAAACTAAACTCCTTTTCATTACTCCTCATAGAAATTACTTTCCAAGGAGAGGCAACACTAAAAGTTTTACTGCTAATCTCATTTTTGCTATACTCATGCTTTTTGCCTTACAGCAAGCAATGCTGCTTTCTGAGCTGCATTCAAAATGACATGCCCAAGCTGACTGCCAGTTGTAAAAGCAAAAAACCCCAAACCTAATGCTCACTTCAAAACTGAAATATTCATTCAGGAACAGCAGCAGAGGTTAATCACACTAGGATTCTAGAATAGAAAGAGACCAGTTACGTTTCCAAACATAAACTAGAATGGAGATGAGGACATAAGCCTCATTGCAAATTCTGCCAGCCTGAGGTGTGCTGCTGGACAGCTATCAGATGGACTGTGGTGCTGAATGCAAACCCCACAGGGTTCCAGGACTTCCAGCCCTTGCTGGGATAGCAATCAACTGTACCAGCAAAGGCACAGTCAGCTCTCTAATGAAGCTACATCTAAGTGGGATTTCTTGAGACATTTGTTCCATTTAGATTACTTTGAAAAAGGGTTGGAATTTTTTCAGGCAACCCTTCCTATGCTCTGACCTAATTAAATTCTTTGCCTTTACAAATCTGCTCCTGCAAATACTTCCTCTTTGATATATTAAATTTTTGTTACGTACCAATCCCATACACCGTGTTTCTGTCTGCCTGCATCCAGACCCAGTGCACATGTTTTGTAATGAATCTTCAACTAAGACCCACTCTTTACAGAAAGCATCACATACTGCACAAGCACTACATATTGCTGATGACAAGAGCATGGCTTTTGTTAAATGTCACTTCAATGTGACAAAATCAGAACGTGTGTGCACTACAGATATGCCCAGGACATCCTGTCCTAACAGCGATAGAGGACTCAAGATAAACGACTAAATATGAATCAAGTGCAAGCCAGCTTTAATAAAGATAAAGCATATTTTGTATTGCTGTACCAAAACCTTATCAGGAGAGAAAGTGTCCATTCTTTAACCCTGTCCTCTAAAATTTCACTTGCAAAGTTACTGAACCAACGCTCTCTACAAATGAAGGGCATGGATTTTCCCACCATCAACCACTTACTTGGCAACACAATCTTGAGATTCACTGCTGTTTTTCAGCTTGTGGTAAACCACTGCACCCACTGCCAATGGCCCAGCATCACCACAGAGGAAAGTAACTCTTCTGCCGTTCAGATTGCGAAGGATTCTCTTCACGTAATCGAGAGATCGCTGCAAGTGGCTCTGGTTTTTTGTGACGCGGTACAGTTGCAGATATAAGAGGGCAATACCTGAAATGAACACACGAAAAAGAGAGAGTTTCACTCACTTTTCTTTTTAAGTGTATCCTATTCCCCTCTTTGGTGCCTCTGAACCAGTAACTCAAATGTGAACAGGTATTTGGGCAATAAAAACATGTCAGTCAAGGGTCCTAGCTTACACAGTGTGAAGGCAGTGGGCCACTATTTGGATGACATTTCAATGGGATGGTGAGAAAAATAAAAATTATCTGACTGAAGCCCAATGGTAGAGTCTCAATTTCCAAAAACAGAAGCAAACTCATGACTCAGGCCTCAACACTTCACAAACTGTATTGGGTTTGCATAGCCCAGCCTTGGTAGCGGGAGGCTACAGGCTTCTGTGAGAAACTGCTGGAAGCTTCCTTCATGTCTGGCAGAGCCAATCCCTGGTGGCTCCAAAGGTTGATGTGGTCAAGACTGGGAAATTAGAAATAGTGGTAATATCTCTGTAATAACAGATTTAGGAAGAAGAGGAAAAGAACATTACTGAGCAGCTGTAATTGTGAGCAGAGAAGACTGGAGTGAGAACATGTGAGAGGAATAACTCTGTTGACACCAGGATCAGTGAAGAAGGAGAAGAGAGGAGGTGCTCCAGGCACTGGAGCTGAGATTCCCCTGCAGGCTGTGGTGCAGATCAAGGTGAAGCTGTATCCCTGCAGCCCATGGAGGACCATGACATTCATCTGCAGCCCCTGGAGAAAACTCATGGAGCACACTAAAGCAGGCATGCCAGCCTAAGGTGAGGTTGTGACCTATTGGAAGGAGGCTGTAACCCCTGAGGAGAGAGGAGCCCACACTGGAGCAGCCTGTGCTTGAAGGACTGCACCCCATGGAGGAGTGATCCATGCTGCAGGTTTGCAGAGAGCTGTTGCTCGTGAGATGGACTCATGGAGAACTGTCTCCTGTAGGAGGGACCCCCATGGTGGAGCAGGAGAATGACTCTTCCCCCTGAGCAGGGGGTGAAACTATGGGTGATGAACTGACCACAGCTACCATTTCCTGTCTCTCTGTGCTGCTGGGGGAGGATGTAGAGCTGGGAAGAAGGGAAGAAGGTGTTTTGAAGGTCTTATTTTACTTCTCACAATCCTGCTCTGATTTTGAAATAAAATTTATTTTAGAAATAAATTCAATTAGTATCTTTAATTCTAGTCTGTTTTGCCCATGACAGTATTCAGTGAGTGATCTCTCCTGGTCCTTATCTCAACCCATGCAGCCTTTGTTGTATTTTTCTCTTCCCTGTCCAGCTGTGGAGGGGAGTGACAGAGGCTTTGTGGGTGCCCTGCATTCAGCTGGCATCAACCCACTACACAAAGAGATCATTGAAGATTCAAAAATTTGAGTTAACAAGCACATGTGTGATTCAGTATACTAATTGTACAATTCTCATCTATTATATGCAAGAAGTGACTTCCCTTTTGATTTGTAAAAGGATATTTTGATGAGTTTTTGGATTCAAGCTCTCAAGTTCTTCACACCCCCTAAACGTATTTCATAACAAGATTACAAGCTTGTACAAGTCAAACAGGTTTATAAAAGCCAGAAGTCAAATCAGGGCTAGAAGAATGCCAGGAGGTACTATCAAGCTTCACTCTTTTGAACTCATTACATAGTTTTCCATTCAAACAAACTAAAACCTTAGAAGTAACAACAATGTAGGCTGAAGGAAGTGAAACAAATCCATCTAAGTGGATGCCTATTGGCCAATCACTTATCTCCAGACCACACTGTAACTCAAACCCATTTCTGAATGGAGAGAGCACTCTCCTGAGCCTCATCCAAAGCCAAGTACACACAAGGCCCACTGAGCTCCCAGAGAGGCTACCACAGTAGTACAGAACAACAGTACCACAAGAGTGCTGGTACATCCTCACATGCTCCCTGGGCAGGCTCTGAGCCAGCCTTTCTAGTTGAATCTAAGAAGAAGAAAGCTGCAGAGTTTAGGTAACCCAGTTCAGCATCATGGGAACTTGTGGGCTATTTACAGAGATTTGTGGAACCCTTTTTTATGCTGCAACAGATGTGTAAATATCTTGGCTTGACCAAAGGATGATTAGAAATGTAGCCACAAAGTCCAGTTCATCTCATCCTTCCTAGTGTTTCTCAGTGCAACACCCTTAAAATGGCTCCTCCAAGAGGTCTGGCCAAAAAGTACAAGAGGACAAGTAAAAAAGTACTTGTATAAGTAAGATGGACTCTTACATGTGTCCCATGGTTGCTACATGCCAAGAGCACATGTTCCAAGGCGTTAAAGATGTTTCACAAAATGCAAGCCAATGCTCATGACTGCACTGCCTCTAAGATTTGTCCAGACTTGGTACATAAAAAGCAGGGCAGTTGTTTACAGCACTACTTTTACCTTCTGATTTGCACACTAGCAAAATGCAGCAAGAGCAAGTTTGGGGAAAAAGTATCTGCATTAAGTATTTTAAAAACCAGATAATTTAAAGACTTTTATTCAGAACCATATCCACAGGAGCCTTGAAAGAAGTTAACAGCTTGGAATAGATGTAAATGGCAATCCTTCTACGGGATGGAAAAATCCCACACTCATTAGACAACGTCACTTGTTCATCTATATTCCTGTTTCAGCTAATGATGGCTGTTACTTTTACCTTATGACTCATTTTCAGTATGCTCTGGTTTATCAGCCATAATTTCAGTTGTCAGTCACTGTGCCAGAACACAGCTCCCCGGGAGCCATTCCGTACTGTCAGCACGAGAAAGCCCACCACTGGAGCTCTGCACGCACTCAGCAGCCAGTCACTTTCAGACCCTGAAACACGTCTATCTTTTAAGCCTGAGTTGTCTAAAAGTTCCCCACCCATCCACCCACAGCACCATCTGTACCAAAACATCAAGAAAAAAGCAAAGAAATTTTACCCTTTAATTGCCAGATTTAAGCCTAAGGATGGATGAAGGCTGGAGAGCTTTTCCAAGCTACTCCCCCCTCATGACAGAGATAAAAGAATAGATCTCCTCAGGCCACATTTCAAAAATGTAGTGCTAAAAGTTTAAGTATGCCTGAAGTTTGAGCTAGAAGAGCAGGAACAGAATATGCCAGTCTATCCAGCAAAGTCACACTTAACCGGCCTAGATGGACATGTCCTGGCAACTTGAAGAATAGTGGCCACATCAGACATGAAAACTGCAGGCTCTGCCTAAAGGATCAGTGTCCTGGTTTCAGCTGGGATATAGTTAATTTTCTTCTCTGTAGCTACAGTGCTGTGGTTTGGATTTAGTGTGAGAATAACACTGATAGCACACTGATGGTTTAGCTGTTGCTGAGCAATGCTTACCCTAAGTCACGGACTTTTCATTTTCTCATGCTCTGCCAGGGAGCAGGTGCACAAGATGCTGGGAGGGAGCATGGCCAGGACAACTGACACAAACTGGCCAAAGGGATATCCCCCTACCACAGGACACCATGCTGGGTACATAAACTGGGGGGAGCTGGCTGGAAGCCACCAATCTCGGCTCAGGCATGGGCTGGACTTTGGTGAGCAGGTGGTGAGCAAAGGCATTCTGCATTGTCATAGACATCTTTTATGAAAAATCCTTCCCTTAGGATTTTCCCTCCTGAGAAGCTAAGAGGCCTCAGGAACAAAATGTAAACAATGCTTATCTGCTGCTGTGGAATGCAACAGGTGGATCTGTGATTGGCCCATGTTGGTTGTTTCTAATTAATGGCCAATCACAGCCCAGCTGGCTTGGACAGAGTGTCTGAGCCACAAGCCTTTGTTATCACTCCTTCTTATTCTACTCTTAGCTAGCCTTCTGATGAAATCCTTTCTTCTATTCTTTTACTATAGCTTTAATATAATATATATTGTAAAATAATAAATCAGCCTTCTGAAACATGGAGTCAGATCCTCATCTCTTCCCTCAGCCTAAGATCCCTGTGAACAATGTCACACTGCATCACCCATTTCTCTTGCATTTTATCCTTCTCCCCTTTTCATTACAATTGTAATTATTATTGTTGGTTCCATTACTATTATTATTTTACTTTATTTCAATTATTAAACTGTTCTTATCTCAGTCCATGGGTTTTATCTTTCTTTTTTTCAAATCCCCTCCCTATGCAACTACGGCAGAGGGGATGTAGGAGAGGCAGGGTGTGAGTGCTCAGCTGTTCGATATTTAGTTGCCAGGTGAGGTCAAATCACACCAATTAGAAGGGCTCATTTACATCTGGACAGCATCAGTGATGCAATGCTAAATGAAAAATGGTCCCCAGCAACAACCACCACGTGCATATGCCTAATTTTCCTCACGATCTTCACAGTCTTGCATTCATACCTCTACACTCCTCCTCCTCACACAACCATTTTACCATTTCTGTACAGACAGAACAGGAATAGCCAAACTACCCAAATTCCAGATTTGAAGGCTACAAGCTTCTGGCCACAGAACATATTTCCCCCCATCTATTCCCAGAGATTAGAAAATGCTGTTACCATTAGAAAACTGCTAACTAGTAGCCTGTCGAACAGAAAAAGGTGAAAAGTAACAATTTTTTAAAAGCAATTTTAAAGAAACAAGAGGAAAGATAAAAGACCAGCCTTAGAAAATCCACTCCTCTTGCAAAACAATGATGTCCATAAACAAAAGTCAATTATCATTCTGTATCTTTATTTGCTGAAGTCAATACAAGTTACAGGCAGTGGTGACCAAGGTTCCAGAGTTAAAAGAAAAACCAACTCACAAAAATGCCCGTAACAGAGGATTTCTGCCACTCCTATGAGAATATCAGAATCTCCTGTGCATAAATCCAATCACATCATTTAACAAATCCATTTCATTGAAATTCTAGCTTTCTCACCAGTCCAGCCAGTATAGGCAGAGCAGTCATGTGGATCTGCTGTCTTCAGCCCTTCCTCCATTTGCTGCAGAAGGTCCTTGATTTTTGCCTGGATCCGTTTTGAGAACCGAGCATTGACCTGAAAGCAGGAGACAGGGAACAAGCCAGAAAAGAAAGTAATTAAACAATGCAAAGTGCCTGCTCCACTTTCTTGTTTGGGAAGAAAACCAAACCAAACCAAAGCGAATCAAACAAAAAATAACTAGGAAATAAATAACACATACAGCAATCAGCAGCATCAAGGTGGTTCATCTTAAGTGTGTCTCATGCAAATTCATTCTGACTACATTTTAGAGTAAGTTACAGGTATCTACATTAGACAAAAATTACCTGTGCATTCTGTAAAGTCACACAAAGAACAGCTATGGACACTGTGACAGCATGTAATTCTAATCAGGGTCCTGGTACCAAGACCATGTTATGGACAAACAGCACAAGCCCCCCACGTTATAGGTGCTTGCTCTCATTATAATCACCCTGCACACCCTTTGTAGCACTACAGAGCAGGAAATAGCCCAAGGAAAAGAAATGTACCAGGTGACCAGTCTTTTTGTACAGAATACTCAAGACAATCAAGCCAAAGAAGATGAGCAGAAGCAGCTCAGCATCTTCAGCTCAGGCACAAAGGGAAAGAAACAAGTCTTTGATTTTACACACTGCTTGCTTTTACTTTTGACCAAAAAATGCTTATATAGATGAAATACATGATCTATGTTATCAGAGAGTATTTTACCTTTTCCAACATTTCTCTCTCATTATGCACACTTTTAGGGAAGATAAGTTAGTGATTACTCCCTAAAGCCTATAGAACATGGAAATTAGCACAGTAGTACAGTAAGTTCTTGACTACAGTACATCCCAAAAGTGTGGGGTTTGGATAAATTACAGGTCCTGGATGCCACCATGCAACCGATTACTCAAGATGCACCACATTTCATACTCTTGTTCAGAGAGAAACTTCAAATAATCAGTGATTTCAAACATCCATCCAACAGATTCAGAAATCAGAAATATTTAAGAATTGCACAAGGCTTCTGACACACCAGAAATCTTCAGGATGGATAGTTCAAATCCATTTAAGGATATCCATGGTAGGACAGGAAGGGAGAAGGAAATTGCGAAGGAAATATCTCACACTGAACACATATCATTCTAGAAACAAGCTAGAGACACCTTAACCTTCTCTAATATCTCGAGCAGCCAAACACAATAGGCATCTGAAGCCTGTTACTCTTCAGTGGTGTTAAGTACCTTTCTGTTAAGGAACTGTACTATGCATCCACATCACCAGCACCACACCACCCTCCCTTTTTGACTGGTTCAGTGAGGTCTCAACACAAAGGAAAACCTTCCTCAAGGGCAGGGCTTCTCTCCTTCAAAAGACAGCTATGCTGATACTAAGGCATATGGTGAAACAGCATGAGGATATTCATGTGGATGCATCCAAGCACAGAGCTCAGCTTATCTGACAAGAGTGAACTAAGGCTTCAGACTCCCCATTTACCTACTGCACATCACAAGCAGGCTGGTTATCTTTTTGTTCTGACAATACACCTGCTGTTACCAAATCAGGATATTTTATATCAAACACCAGATTACTTAGAGGTAGGGGGGGAATACTAGGACATCAGGATGCCTGAGTTCTGCATTGAAATCTCAGTCCCATACAAATAATTTAGCTCAGGTTGGTAATCTCTCTCTCTCTAGAATCTGAATTGTAATTTACTAGTCTTGGTTCAGTGCTTGAAAAAGCACAGATTAAAGGATATTTTTATTATTATTTTTATAATTATCTGTAAGTCCAAACAAAGCTACTCCCAAGCTCATGTCAGTGTGAATAGGTTATAAGTGGCAACTAAGTTTTCCCCAGCTATCCTTCTCTCTTTTTTTCTGGTTGCTCTGAAGCTTTCCCAAGCAAGCACTGTCACTGATCATTTTATAAGATTTCCCTAGAAGTTTGTAACATATGCTTACATGCACTAGAATAAATTAATTGCACAAAGAAATGAATATTGAAAGGTGGCTTTAGAAGATTTAAAAGCTTCCTTCAAGGAATCTTGGGGCAGCATTACAACTGAGCATAACACACACACTTGTGTGGCGCACAGATTGATTTTCATCAGAAGCACATTCATCTCAAGAGGATGTTTCCAACTGGCATTCAGCCTTTGCTGCAGGTGACTTGTTAATCCTGTAGGGACAAACAAAAGCCAGGAAGCCTGATCTCTGATATCCAGTGGCACATTTACTTCTGGTTCACAACAGACTGGGTAATAGCAGGAGCTGAAGGGTATCTTTAATCAGAAAAGGTTTTCTCCAGGAATTCAACTGCTGCATTACTCCTCTGCTGCTGCAGAGAGAACAACCATTATCATCCCAAACACTGCCCAAGTTTTATATTGTCAAAACACAAAAACAAGGGCTCATTCCTCATTATACCAAATAGAGCCTTGTGCCATACTGGTTATGGTAGCTAACATGGCTCATTATCAGCACAAAAGTGATGCAGAAAAACCAAAATATGTTAGTTTGGAAATTAATAGTTTTGTTATTTATTCAAACCACATCACTTCTTCCATTGCAATGAGAGAGCAGGCAAAGCTATATCCCAATATAAAGCCTTCCAAAGCCAACAAAAATGTAAAGAATGTAAGTACTTATGTAACATCACTCACCTTTGGCACTAATCACAAGATGTCTAAATTATGCTGTCCTTCTTAGCAATATATGTTTCCCCTATCTGCTTTCTTTCATTTGTAGGATTTCTAAAGAGAATTTAACTCATCTACTTTTGTAAATTCAGCACTAGAACTACACACCTACATTAGAGCACAGTGCTAACACCAAGGTCATGGGCTAGATCCCCATATGGGCCATTCACTTAAGAGTCGGACTCAGTGGTTGTTCTAGGTCCATTCCAACACAGAATATTCTGTGATTCTGTTATTATAAAATATTTTTATATTTATAATTATAGATATAAAATATTTATATACTTATATTTATAAAATTTCTGTAATGATGCAAATAAAAATCTCCTAAAAACCCCAAACTTTGCACTTGCAGGCAACATTACAATAACATACCAGTTCTTACTGACCATTGCAGCCACATCCAGCTTTATGGCCATGGCATTAAAACAAACCAGAACCAGGGGCAGAGGAGGCAATAAGCAGCTGGCATATATGTGTTGTACACCATGATTTCCGGTAGGTAAGAGAAATCTGTAACTTTAAAGTCTCAGATGCATATTTGGACCAAATGTCACAGTGCTGACATAAGTGTAACCCTGAGGCCTCATGGCACTCCTTTTGTCATTAAAAGTAACAGTCTGGTTTGAGAGACATGGGATGAGTAATCTCATTTGCAATTGTCAAAGACATTTAGATACCCATGCTGTTGCTCAAAAACACCTCCTGGCATTTGCTTGCTCATGACATCTATGCTAAGAACTTGTGCAGAGCCACAGCAGGGCAATGGAGACCTGAGAGCATAGCTTCCTCACAAGCTGCCAATGTACCAATCTTTCTTGCTAACATCAGCTCCCAAAACAACCATCTTGCTCTTAACCCTATTTTAATTCATCCTGTTTTGGGGGATAGATGTTACATGCAAAGCCAGACTGCAAAAGTAAGCAACTGATTCTGCAGAAGTAGAAAGGAGATTACCCAGACACACAGTGCTACCCCCCAAACAAGAAGAATATATACTTTTAATTCACCTCATTTTGCTGCTGGTGATGTGTAGAACAGAACACATAACATGGTGCTGTGTTGTCTTTGCCAAAGTGTATTTCAAAGAGAAGAAAACAGAGCTCAAGTTGGTGCTGCAGCAAGAACTCATTCAAAAACCAAACTTGCATAGAAGATGGCAGAAAGAACATGACAGTCACTGGCGAGGAAGAATGTAGTAGGGGAAAACTCACAGTTCTGCTGAAATGGGGAATCCTGGCTGTACAGAAAGCTTTGGGAACTTTGCCACTGACTGTAAGGGAGCCAGGTTTCACACCCATGCATTGGAGCATGGGTCTAATGAAGCAGGATGAGCTCGCACACTCACCTCCACAAGTTCCTGCAAAAGCAGACAAGAAGGGATGGCAGTAGGATCCCATATGCAGAATCTAGCAAGGTCTGCTGGGAGGTGACCAGTCTTTTTCTACAGAAGAACAAGTTCTACTTTATTTTTACCTAAGTCAAAAGACTCTTACAGCTCCAAGAGCAGTGCCTTCTTCTCTGAAAATACCAGACACTGCTGAAGCTCATCACCCAGCCTCTGAAACACTCACAGTTCTCTGCTACTTCTCAGACAGGTCCTCCAGAAACAAATGCCAGTTCTGCAAAACCACATGATTAATAAATGTGTTGAAACACTACTGTCTGTAGAACACATTGCACTGATTTTCAGTGATCTACCACTTAGTGCCATACATGTGACAATAGGGCAAAAAAACCAAAACAAAACAAAAGGCAAAAAAAGAAGGGGAAGAGGAGGAAGAGACAGAGAAATCAATAGCTGTAGGCAAATTCCTACACTGCTACAAATGCCAGCTTAGGAATAGGCTTTAAACACAGTCACTGCCCTGTCTCAGGGGATATAAGGGTGTGAAAAGCATCATTAAAAGGCAAGCATTCAAGTTACAGAAAGAACTACTTAAGGCAGGTGAGAAATAAGACTGTCTCTAACGTATTTGTGTGTGAAAGAAGTTATATCTCTCATTGGTTATAAGACAGCAAAAATCCAAAGCTTAAAGATCTAGATCATCACAAAGAATCATCAAAGAGCTCCAGATTATTGGTAACCAAAATAAACACGATTAACGGATATCCTATGTTTTGGGAAATGGACACTGATAAAGCAAAAGAGCAATACTGAAAATCGCGTCCTCCAGGTAGCATAACACCAACATGCAACTTCTTGAAAGCTGAGAAAATAAAAGTCTGAGTATGATTTAAAGTCACTCACTACACAGAAGTGTCTAGCCCAGCTGTGACATTTTTAGGTGGTCCTTGAGTTTCAAAAAAAGCTAAAACCTCTACCAATTCTAAGTTATCTCTATGCAAAGAGCAGATATATTCCACATATTGAGCTTGACAGCAGATAATTGCACTTAGACCCAAATAAAATTTATTTTCACCAGGAAGCAAGTACGTGTTATTGCACTTGACCACACAACTGGCTGGAGTAACAACTCATTAACATGCAGGTTTGCAAGATAAAACTAGAAACTGATGAAGAGTGGATGGATGTGAGACAACTTAATCAGAACTTGGGGGTTTGATTTCATTAAGTATTTTCATTCAGAACTGGTTGACTGAAACCAAACAGGCTTAACTCTGTGGTCACCTCCTGAACGGCAGGAGAGGCTTTCACTACAAAAGCATCAGAAAAGCGCTAAGCAGTGTTCAGTGCTGCCTGTGCTGTGGGAAAGAAACAGCAGCTCTTCCTTCCAGGCTGTGTACGACTGCCAGGAGTTAGTGAGGGACAACAGAGTGATTTCCAGGCTCAGTTTTCACCAAGACTCTCAAAAAGCAAAACAAACTTTCCTTCTGAAGAATTACAGAGAACACTGCAAACCTTGTTTGTCTGAGAGTCCCCTATGAAAATAGCACATGCCTGAGTTGGACAGCCAGGAAATGGTCAAAAAAGTAATAAACTCAAGAAATACAGCTACCTCATCTCACATCTCTGGAAAAAAGTGGGAAGAATTATTTAGTGGCTTTGGAGGTTGAATTTTGCCTCCAGTGCAATAAGTTGTATAATACTCATTAGTATAAGTTGTTGCTGAGTCAGTCCCAGAACACAGAGAAATTGCTGCTCCCAGTGAGGTAACCAAAATGCACAGTGAGGCAACTGCAAAAAGTTTTTAAAAATGAAAAAAAAAACCAAACTAAAAAAACAAACAAAAAAACAACAAAAAAAAAAAAAAAAAAAAAAAAAAAAAAAACAAAGGGAGAAGACAAGTGAGGCTATGATAAAAATCCATACACATATATATGTATATATATCTGTATTTAAAAGTATATTTTACAGGAGAAGGAAGACTCAAAGCCACATAAGGGCATTATCAGAAGTAACAGGAGATTAAGAAAGCATTAGGAAACTAAATACTACTAAATCATCCAAATGATAAATCTAATTAAATATCCTATATCACCATTAATAGGTACTTGCCAATGAGCACCATTATCTTTGAACAGGTTCCCTGTAAGAAGTCCCCTGCAAAGCCTAGTAAGGTATTGTATACATTTCTCAGAACATACCACTTTTTTCTAATATTCTTAGAACACTATGGCAAGTCAGGAAAAAAGAATTTGCCTAAAAAAGAAGTTAAAAGTTTGGGCACTCTAGTGACCAATCCATGAAGTTTGAATCTAATTTTGCTTCTGTCTTGTGATTCCACAACAAATTCAGACAATCTTAATGTAAGGGCTGGGATCATGTTAATTTCTTGATGACAAGGATGCTTCTTTTTTTTTTTTGCACAACCACAAAACGCAGACCATTGTCTAGGCTTCCACCTTCCCCTGGCTGAGCAGATAACATCAGGCTGCCTTTTCTTCCCAGGTCACTTGCCTGTAGTCAGTGTGAAGGAGAATCCCCAGTCACACCTGACCATACTGCAAATGCAGCCACAGGGCTGTGGTGGCTCTGAGGAGGCAACAGACCCTTGAACAAGCCATCAGCACCCCTCAGGAGCAAGCTCTCCTCACCCTTTTCCTTCCCAGGAAATCCTTTAGAGCTGTGTAACTCTCTAGCACACTAGGGAACTAAGAACTAGGGAGTGTTCTTTGTTATGAGTCTATTAATTTCTCTGCCTCCCCCAACCATCTACATTTCCATTTTGAAAACTTTTGGACTGACCACTTTGAGATAATATCTAGAGGTATATTTTTAGGTTAGGTATCTCTATGGGGCCCAAACAAAAAAGAAAAAGGCTACAGGATGTATATTTGATTGAAATATTAAACATCACTTATTAAACAAAGGCTTACATTTAAAATTGTTTATTATTAATCTAGAATTAATGCTGTCTGATGAATTATTACCTTGGCTTTCTCAGACAAGTTACAGAAGCAATTTAAGTTCATGGTACTTTAATGATGAAGAGATCTAGTTACAAAAACAGTGAATTTCAACTACATGAGCAGAGCCCACATAGATAGCTGCATTGTTTACTGTGACTACTAATAAGAAAGCAAATCAGCAACCTCAAATTCTACTCTCCTACTCCCATACCTTCAAGATTTCTGAACAATACTTTACCCACACACAGTTCCATATGGAGATTTTTGTCCCAATTGTCTCACCTTCCAGACAATGCCTTGAAGAGCTTCTTGTCCTTTTATCAAGCAGGTGAATTTTAGATGGCAATCATGACAGACTAAGAAATCGAATGGATTAATAATGCATTGCCTTCCATGACAACAGCAGAGCCCTGCACACCTCAGGCTGTCATTACGTGAGTCACTCAGCAGCAGATGGGAGAGGAAGGCATTATGCACTGCACTGAGGCCTTCTGAAAGATGCCCTCATTTTCAGGTGGGCTTGTGTACAGAAGCTTACAGAACAGACTTCCTACCCTGTGTAAAGTCCCTTTGTCTTCACTGGGGCTTTAGGCAAGCAAAAACATTTCTCCGCTGGAATGGGAGTCATTAAATGCAAAAATAAAACACTAAAACATAAACTGAAAATCACAACAACAACAAAAGTACCCATCATGAAATGTCACAAAAAGGCAGTACTAGGAGTGACAGCATGCAAATACTTCAAAGAATATAAATGCACATAAATATTCTCACAGCTATATTCTAGTCCAGAAACACATAAAATGACTCCTGAGATTTTGCAGATGCAAAACCAAAAGAAAATGTACACTTGCTTCTGCCTTCTCCTATGACATGCACAGAATTGCTATAGTTACATGGTTTTAAGGCAGTACAGAATTATTTTTTTTCCCAGAGGCACTTCACCCTCCTGAACAGACACCACCTTTTATCAAATACAAGACTACTCAGGTGCTCTAACATATTTTCTGAACACACTTGCACCAATAGCAGCTGACTGCCACTTTCCAAAAAGGAATGTCATCCATCATTGATGCTGGGGAAAAACCACATACACGCACTGTAAAAACACCATTCTCATGCATAGGAGAGCCTAACAGGCATTGCTAATGTCAACACAGGGCTAGAAATTCCTGACTAACTCATTTCAGCTCTGCCACAGAACAACATCTCTCCATTTGGATTCATTCAAGAATCAAATCTGAAATAAATTAGAGTTGAACTATTCTGAAATAGATCTAGTATACTCTAAAATGTACATCTTCTAAGGATGTAGTGTTCATCTTCAAGGACGTTCATCTTCTTTTGGTATCTCACCATTCTTCTGGTTAACTCACTTGAGAAAGCTTTAGTCCATCTAGATCAGCAAGAAATGAAGGAGTGTTTTCTCTTTTAAAATATGGACATGAAGTGTGGGGTTTAAAGCAGGTACACAAGATGACTGGCCTACAAGGGACTCGGTATGTTTTTTACTGATTTAACACCAATATATAGCTATAGTGGCTCTGCCATCTCCTCTCTGCCTTTATAATTCAACTCATCATACTTGGATGGTTTTTAGAGACTAAGCCAGACACAAAAGAACAAAGAAATAACAGTTCTCTTACACTAGGAAAAAAAATATCGTTACCTACACTCAGCATACTGCCAGGGAGCTGTATACAAAACAAAGTACATTTCACTTTTACACCTACTCTTGCTTTTTAAACCTTCTCAAATGCTTTGCTTTTGACAGCTGCAATTATCTGCAGCAGTTAAGACATTGAAACCCCAAAGCATTCTCTTTTGTGCACTCTGCTTAGCCACATACAACTTCATAAACCTCAGTCATAAACAACTTGGTGAAACCTTTCATTGCCTTGGACTTATGGTGAGCTGATGGCATCCTGCAGGTACTTAAAATGGTCAGAGCGAATGTCCCTCCCACTGTTGGTCATCACCATCCTCGTCTCACTCTATCAGTAAGTCAAGGTAATTCCATATTGCCACAAGCAGGAAAATACAGAGCTGGTATCAAGAGCTTTCCTTTATTCATCTCAGCATACAATCAAGAAAGTTAGGAAGCTAACTTCCCACCATCAATGCATTTGTGCTTGCAGCAGTGTCACCACGCAGTGTTTTCCATGCAAAAGATGACAAAGCTGCACAGTATTGAAGGATGAGGCTGCAGAGGGGCTAAATGACAGAAAGTCCATATTCTGGCATTCCTTCTGCAGATTAATCCAGCCTGCATGTTAACAGACCAGGCCAGATCAGCTTCTGAGTTTAAAACCTAAGACACAGTATACCAAACAGCAGCACATGGCATCAAGGAGATAACCAGAGCAGGACGATTGCAAACCTTGTGTGACCAGTCCTACCAGGCAGACCTTCTGTGAGCATGAACCAACTTGCCAGGTGGTTATCATGGTGCCCCTGAACTTATAAAAGTGCACATGTCAGTAAATAAACACGTGAGAAGAGTCTAGCTTCACCCAATGAGTGAGCGTTGCTGTCACCCGAAAATAAACTCTCCTTTTTTAGATGGGCGTCCATCTTTTCCATTCCCTCATGCATTTTCTCTGGTGGAACTCGGGCAACTTCTGCTGACAACTTCTTCTGAGGCACCAAACCACCGTGGTATGAGCTGCTATAGCTGTTCTGCTATACAGCGTTCAGCTGGGGCACCGCGTTCATTCCCGTACCGGAGTAAAACAAACAGCCCGAATTCAGAGCCGCTGCTGCCGGGCCGAGCTCCCGCTGCTTCCCTCAGTTCACCCCGCCGCTCCCTCCCCTCGGGCGCCCCCGAGGCCGCGGCGGCCGCCCCGAGCTCTGCCGGCCCCCCGCAGGCCGCGGCAGCCCCAGCGCCCCCGCCGCCAGACCCGCGTCCCGCCGAGGCCGCCCCGGGGAGGAACCCACGGCTGCCCGCGCCGCGGGGCCGCTGGCAGCGAGCAACCCACCGGGGAGGCCGGGCCCAGGCTCCGGGACGCGGCGCCTGCCCTCCGCCGGGACTCACCTTCCCATCGGCGCCGAAGGGGAGGGAGTCCTCCTCCGCCGGCGGCTGCAGCGCCCTGTCCCGGTGAGCGTCCGCCGCGCTGGGGGCTGCCACGGCTCCCTGGGGCGGGTAGTCGGGGTAGGGGTTGGCGAAAGCCCGCTCCTCCATCTCCGCTTCACCGCCCAGCTGCAGCTTCAGCCTCTTGGACATGCTCTCTCCCATCTCAGCCGGCCCCCGGCCCGCCTCCCCGCACGGCGAGCCGGCGGGGACACACTCCGCCCCGCAGAGCGGCTTTGCAGCAACGCGAGCGCCGCGGCCGCCCCCGGCTACAGCTGCCCCCGGCTACAGCGGCCGTGCCGCCGGGCTGCCTCAGGAGGGCGGCTGCGGTGACAGGGTCTGCGGCCGCGGGCCCATCGGGGCCGCTCCAGGGCGGAGGCGCCGCCGCCCCGACCCCGAGCCACCGAAGCCCAACTTTGGCAGGCGAAAGGGAAAGCTGCGAGGCCGCGGCTCTGCTCGGCGTGCCTGTCACCCGAGGCGGGGGAGCGGCGAGCGCGGGGCCATCACAGCCTGTACAGGGGCAGAGCGCGGCCGGGGCCGCGGCCGGGCCCCCCCGCCGGAAGCGGCAGCCCGCCCGCCGGCGCAGGCTGGGTGGCACGGCTGCAAAGCTCGTTCCAGCGCCTCATCCTCCCCCGCCGGGGCGTCAGTGCCTCGGGCTGCTGCTGCCGCCGGCCGCACGCCGGGCGGCGGAGCGGGGCTGCCGCCGGCTCCTCCCGCCCGTCCCCCCGCGGCGGGGGCGAGCCGCCGCCCGGCGCATCTCAGAGGAGCGGCAGCAGCAGCAGGAGGGGCACGGACAGCCCCAGGAGCAGGCAGTACGCCACCAGCTCCTTCGCCCGGCTCATCCGCAGCCGCCGCCGGGCCGCGCTCATCCGCCGGCAGCCCCCGCGCCCGGCGCGCCGGTCCCCGGCCAGCCCTGGCGGGAGGGAGGGACGCGCTCCTCGGCCACCGCCCGGCGGGGACGGCGCAGCCAGCGGCGACCGCCCCTCCGCTGGCGAGAGGCGGCAGCTCCCCGGGGAGAAGGGGGGTGGTGTCCTTTCCTCGGCCCGCCTCCGGCTGTAATGTCGGCCTGGCCGGCCGGCGGGCAGCCCGCTCCAACGAGCCAAAACGTGCTAGAAAAACAGCCCCAAGCCCCCCCGAAAGACACCAGAAAACCTCACAGCCCTGGAGGGGGCTGGCGGCGGTGGGTGGGGAAGGCCCTCAGCGATCGGCGGTGGCGGCTGGACGTGAGGGCGGGATCGCATCCCACCTGGGGAGGAGCAGCGTCTGGATCCCGTGTGAATCGCGCGGCTGTGTCTCGGATCCAGTCCTGCGAGGGGGGGAGGCTGAATGCCAGGGCACTGTGTCACCATAAATTTAGCCCGTCGTCTTATGACACCTCCACTTTAAGCTAGGAGAAGAGCTCCAGATGAGAGGGAACTGTACAATCATTAAGGAGAAATCTTTTCTATTCACAAATAAATGGTACGTGCTGTCGATGTAGTCATAGCCTTCAGGAATTGGTACTGCGTACTGAAACATCGCTGTGTGGAGCGAGCCGGCAGAAAGCCTGCAATCCGGCCAAATGCTGCACACAGCGTTGTGTCAAAATACAGGCTCGGGAGAGACCTCATTATCCCCTGAAATATTTACCCCCAACAATGCCATTCCTTTTTGCCAGTAATTGTAGGTCAGACGGACCATAAAGCATTAATTCAATAACTGGGCACTGTGCAGACTTATTGATCTTTAGTTTTATGCATTGGGTATTTAATTGCTATCAAAATACATATTCAGTGCGTAAGATTAAATATAGGTGACATCTGTCCTGGCACTAGCTTCAGTTTACAGTTGCTGGTAGCAATATACATGTGAATAAATGGGACATTTCTGTCACCTTGTTGCAGGATGTGAATTTGAATTAATACTTGCTTCACTTTATTTATTTTTATAAATTAAGCTGATGACAAAGCAGAAATTCCAAGCAATCTGTCTGACACGAAGTACCTTGTGTTTGCTCTGGAAGTGAATATAACCAGTCACTTAAAAATCAGAGTAATCTATAAAATATCCTCTTCTTTGATAATTAAAAAATCACTTTATGCATCATGTATTCTTTAATGGGTAAATCTTTTGTGCTGTATTGCATTGCCTGAAAAGGTAAATTCAGAACCTTTTTAAAACATCTCTTGCCTCTGAGTAAATATTTAAGTAACATGTTTTCATCTAGGATAGTTTCCTACCTTTAGTGGAGACCAGCTGCATCAGCACAAGTGATGGCATTCCCATAATGAAGATGAGAGTTGAGCCTTTAATATGAGTGTATGTGGTTTCTGTTTTCTTACACCTTCTACTCTTCTTGAATCAAAATTATGCAAATATAGAAGCAGGATCGTACCAATTGGTACCTGCTCAAGGCCTACAGGTAAGGAGAGAAGGTGCTCCCTGGTACCTTGCAAGAGCAGGTTCTTCCCTTCTTGTGGAGCTGTGGGTTTGTGGGTTGCTGGGTTGGCATCTCTTCCCTTTTGCATCATTGCACTGTTTGATTATCTGCATGCTGCTGTGTTTAACACCCTGTTTTCTGGAGTGCTTCTTTCATGTTCACTGTTCTTCACATTTGTTCCAAGGTGGCATGTCTAGTTTCCAGCATATGAGGCCTTCTTTTGTTCTTAGCAGGTGGGATAGAGTTCAAAAGACTTTCAGACTTTTTTTCAGGGAGTGTTTTTTCCTTTTGCTCTTTTACCCTTGATGCATGTAGAGCCCCCACAGCCCAAATGGGAATCATGGATGAAGGAGGAGGAAAAAAGTTGGGCTGACTGAGGCGTCCACCTGTCACATAAGTTTTAAGCAATAATAAATTCACATCTCTCATCTCCAGCAGTATGAAGCAGGAGGCTTTGCCTACTGAAATCATGATTACATTTGTGCTTTCATCCAGAAAATTTCTAAATGCTACTGAAAGCACTGAGCCCTAACCCTTACTTCACCATCCCAGCTAAGCACTCCTGTAACCTGCCTTCTGCAGCATATGCAGCCCTGCAGCAAGCCAGTGTAGCAGAAATCTGTACTTTTCCTTTCTATCATGTAGGTAAAATCCAACTAATGTCTAAACAAAGCCTGATTCTTACTTAGAAATCACTTTCTTCATGTAAATGATGGAAGTTTTTGCTTATCAGATCAATGGGCTATTCATTCTTTACACAGAGGAAATCATAAACGCTTCTCTTATGGCCTTTCCTTTTCTCCAATCCTCTTCACACACTGCAGCATCTGATGCTCTGCTCATCATGAGACTAGTGCCAATTTTTTTAATAGTAAAATAAAATATCTGTTACATTTTCAGTCAGGACTACAAGCCAGAATCCATACATAAATCATTAGTGATGCTGTACTTTCCCATGCATTTTGCTGCTTGATTCCCAACATGAGTTGTAAATGAACCTAACTAACAAGGTGGGAAAGAGCATCGTCTATCACAGAGTCAACCTTCTGAGGACTAGCACACAGCTGCCCTTCCCACTACACTCAGTGGGAGCTGCAGCATGGTGCAATGTATGTGGCTGTGGAAGGACTGTGAGCACCCATCAGGAATCTCCATAGCTCTAGCTGTGACATGTTCAGTGGTTCTTTCAGCATCTGTGATCATTCTTATTACAGTGTAATAGTGCTCATTTATTTTCAGGCACAAGGGCTCCACAAATATGCAAGCAGCAGCTCCATCCATGCTTTGCTCCATGGAGGCAGGATGATGGGTATATGACTTCAGCACCCATGCTAAAGTGCTTTTTAAATTCTGGGAAACCATTGTAGCAGCTGGCATTAATCTCATTTTATTTCTGATTGTAGAGATCCAGCTGAAATTAACTGAGAGAAGCAAGAGCTTCAGGAATGGACCCTGAGGTGATGCATAATGGAGAACAGGGCTGTGTGCTGCTTTATTTTAAAGCAGTATTTGGAAAAACAAGGTATGGCAATTTCTCAGTGGAGATGGAGTAGTTTATACCTGCTGCAAATCAGCGGTCATACTTTTATTGAACACAAATATAGTCTTTCATACTTTCATAAAAAGCTTTTGCTTTTTCTCTGGTTATCTCTTCAGACTACACTCTGTCTATGATGTCTTTGTGCTCTGCAGGAAACCTTTTACTGCTTGATCACTGCCATAGACCTATATTAGCCTATAAGAAAGGATTTCCTAATTCCCTGTTCACTTCCCTTTATCTGCACTTCCTAGTTTCTTTTTACCTCCACCATTGTATAAGAATATATTCTGCTACTAAATTATTTAAAGCTGTTTAGGTCTAATAAGCTATGGACAGTTGCTGCTTGTAAAAAACCATGATATTATGAAATAAAATCCGCAGGATTAGGTTTTGCTTTTTAATTGCAAAGGACTTGCAGGCTTTGGATCAAGTTCAGTCCCGTGTTCAGTAATGCAACGTAAGAGTCAACTACTCTGTGTGAGATGTTATTATACTGTTATCAGTGGCAACAAATTTGTCTGGCTGCTGTAAATAAGTGACCTCTATTATTGTATAATTTTACCATTTAAGATCTCAGAGATTTCTGTGAATCTGAGAAGACACTTCATGATTAGACCACAAAAGTAATGTTTCTCTAATATAGTTGTCTTCTTATTTTCTTTTCTTGTCTTTTGTTTTGCAGCAGAAAAAGCAGTGTCATGAAGTCTGCTGCACTTCTGATGACTGCCTGCTAATAAATGATAAGCCTGAACAGCATTTCTTGTACTTCAGCTTCTTTTTAAAGAATGGATTTTGTTACAATCAAATGTTTATGTTCCTTATCCCCTTACTGCCAGTAGGGTTTGATTTGCACATCAGTACAATACAACTAATGCTGAAATCATGCAAAGATGTCTGTAAATGTTCTTAGAGGTCCTCACCATCTATGATGAAAATGGAGAGAGCTCGCTGCTATTAAAATCTGCCCTTTACAATCATTTGCCTAATGTTCAGTTCTAAAAGGAGTTATTTCCAAACCTGACAAGGTTTGTAAGTCTGGGGAAAATTGAATTAGTAGAAAACAAATGTAATCCTCCTGAAGCATGAGGAACAGAGGGGAAAGATGTTAGAATAGCAGTTACTGGCCAGTATCAATAAAAAGGAGCAACAAAACAAGTGTTGGACAAGAGGATTCCTTTTGTCTAAGGAAGCTGTTGCAAGCTGCACACCTTATTTCTTCTGATATTCTTTGAATGACTCAATGTCAGGGGCTTAAAAAGCAGCCCTAGTCACTACCTTGAGGTTAGGATAGGTGAAAGACTCAGGCCTAGGATTCGCCAGAAATTATGGCCATGTTGCTGTGATGCACTGAGTGATCTCAGTCCCGTTTCTTCAGGGTTGTTTTATGGAGACTTGTGATCTTCAGAGCAAATTCAAAAGTCCATAGGTTTGGGTTCTGTCTTCAGTGGCTTTTGCTGAATCAGGGCAGAGTAGGGAACAAGCACCTTCAGGCAAAGCAGCTTTACAACTTTTGCAGGGTAAGAACAACTACAACAGTACAAGAATGGAGAAGAAGATAAACAATGAGAGACAAGGGAATTTGG